TATTCGATCACTAAAGTTGTTGGCTTACCGACAATGAACAACACATCCATTTCATACTGTTCAAAATCACATATTACATGTATAACTGGAATGTGTGTCCAGGTTAAAGGCAACATTGTGGTATTTAGTAAGGTTTTCTCAGTCTTCGTGTCACCTCGTTGAGCCCCACGAGTGTTTTTACTCCCTAAATAATGGCCCATTTCTCAATGTTTTCAAGTGATTTTGTAGACCCATCTGGTGCTTCTGCAAAGTCAAAGTGGGAGTTTACAAATACTGCTGAACTCAGGATCTGAGTCTTTAAATTACCAATGAATCCAGAACTGTATAGTTTAAGGAAGCGATGACTAATCAGTAAACACATGTCAAAACTGTCTCCTGCGGCATGAGTTGCACATACAAAACATCCATATCCATACTACGGGCTGTTAAAAATACAGGACATTACACAATATACAAAATATGTAAGAAGGCTTCCTCCAGTTTAACATTCAAACTATTTCATACAGAATTTGTGCTGAACACACACCTACAATAAGGCAAAGATTACAGAAGGCCCGGCTAAAGACACACAGAGGACATGGATGAGGCATCATACTGAGAGAAATGTGGCTTTTAGGCACCATGATCTATAAAACTATTTATTTTCATGCGCTGAACAGCTTTCAGATAAATCTGCATCGATTGTGCTAGCAGAAAAAGTTTGATAGCAGGGGTTTATGACGTTGGAGCACAACAAAGCACACCGTTTTGGGGCTAGACAGGGGTGAAAACACAAAAGCTGCAATCTATCACCTACCAATGCGAGATAAAGAAAGAAAAGTTCAATGCAGCTGAAAAAAAGAGGAGCATAACTTGAGTGATTTGATCTTCAGGGAGTTTTTTTTTTCTCCACAGAAAGAACAATTCACTGTCCTGTACTTGACCAGCGCTCTGTGCCACACTCAAAGCCATCGCACTACAAAGCACACCTGTAACAACGAACAAACCCTAGGATGCGGTTACAGAGGTGACGTGGCAGGATTCTGGAATGAAAGGCCAACAAAAGCTTTCTGACTTTCAGTCTTACTAAAATGGGATACTTTGTGAATGTGGCCCTAAATCTGCAAAGTGTCCACCATAACTGAGACTTTGCATTCCTGACCTGTTAACTCACTCCACCCGCAGCGAACAGGGAACGCACTATGGCTGGGTGCGGGCGTTGGAACACGGCACATTAAGATATAAAGAGCATCAGTACAGAGACACTTGGAAGATTGGAGCAGCATTTTATGACAACTGGAAATACGCAAGCACTAGCACGCGGCTGATAGTCATCATATGTGGGCCGAGAGAGGATGCTGACTGTTTGGCGGTCCCTGGCTTTCTTTCTTGTGTTCAAACTGAGATTTAGCGATTGCTCCTCATGGCCTCCTTGGCTGCCAGGATGAGCGGGGTCAGGCTGGACAGAGGCTTCGCCAGCTTCAGGAACGGATGCTGCACACAAGACAAAGAAGAGATTGGATTAGACCAAAATGACCTATGTTGACTTAGCAGTTTAAAAATTCACAGAGCAAGATTAAGAGGGATGTAATGGCTTCAAGGAAAAATGATTTATGATGATTTTAAACTCATTAAAGCTTTCTTAGTTTGATTTTAATGACGATTGTTTTGCCTCAAACTTTGGTTTTACCAAAAAGATCAGAGTAGTGGAAGTTTTCACAGTTCATTTGCGGTCATAAATGAGGTCATAAGTTACTCAAAATTACCCAAAATATTCTTCAGTATTCATTTACCTAGGAAGTATAAGAGAGGTATCCTGTCCTACCTGCAGCAGTTCTCTGCCTGAACCTCGCTTCTCCACATCCATCTCAAGGCAGCGGGAAAGGAAAGACTTGAAGACAGGTGACAGCTTCTCTGGATTCTGTAGCTCAGGAGTCCCATTTGTGGCGATTAAATACAATGCCTAAAAAAAAAAAATAGAAAGCACAGTTAGAAGACCTGTACAATAACAATGTTTGCTTTGTTCATCCTTCTGACAGTATAATAAGTATAACAGAAAAACGTTTCCATGGCAGTCCATCCGCTGGTCATTGAAAGCTTACAATCTATGGCTCCACAGGGTTACAACCCCTGTGACAACTGTCAACCACATGGTGGCGCAAAAGGTGAATTTTAGAACATCCAAAGTTAAGGTAATTTAAGGTCATTCATACATTTGTCCCCTCTCCATCCAGCAGATGATCACATGTTTAAGATGCAAACTAAAAGATGGGTGCATTGGACAAAAGTCGAAAAGATTGCGTTTGATGAGTGTGTGAGCACACGCTCACCCTCAGAGGATTCTCGTTCAGGTAGGGAGGCTCTCCTTCCACCATCTCTATGGCCATGATCCCCAGGGACCAAATGTCCACTTTGGGTCCGTACGCTTTTCTGGTCACCACTTCGGGAGCCATCCAGTACGGGGTCCCCACCATGGTGCTGCGCTTGCTCTGCTCTGGGGTGATCTGAGCGCAGAAGCCGAAGTCAGCTGCGAGGAGAGAGAGAAAGAGAGAGAGAGCAGGTTGAGTTCCACAGAGGCCTCCTCCAGTAGATCCGGATGTTTTTTCTGTGCGTCTTCCTCACTGAGTTTGACCGATCCATCCATCCCCAGGAGAACATTGTCACTTTTGATGTCTCTGTGGATGACCTGGTTGGCATGAAGAAACTCCAGAGCCTGGAGGACCTAATCACAGAGAGGGGGATTGTGAACCCTGTGCACACACGAGCTGCTGATAAATATCAACGGCGAGGGGTTTTCACAAGGTTTCCTTTGTCTCAGAAATCTACCTCTCTGCAGACGGCAGCGATCTGAGCCTCGTCCATGCACGTCTCTGTCACGACGTCAGTTAGAGAGCCACCAGCCAGGTACTCCATTACCACAAAGAGCTCGTCCCCCACCAGGAAACTGAATGCACAGACAGTTACATTCACAGGGCAGCCGCCTCACAAATGCCGAGGTGTCGGCTTTCACAGCACACTGTAATGTTACCTGTCTAAGAAGTTGACAATGTTGGGATTCTTCAGCTCCTTCATGACCAGGATCTCGTTGATGATTAGCTCTTTCTTTGGCTGCTTCTGTAAATTGATCTGTTTGATGGCCACCTGCGGAACACAATGTCATGTGAATCAGCCACACAAGACAACCACAACAGATTCCCCTTTGGGATGGTTTTGCTCCTTTCCCCTTACCTCTTGTCCTGTGGCAACATCTATGGCTGTGTAAACTGTACCAGACGCGCTGAAAATAAAACAGGGAAGGATCAACAAAAGGCTTTTTCTTACCATCTTCTTCTGCGGTCTAAACTCTGACTCACCCCTGGCCAATCTTTTCATAACGGGTATATTTCTTCTTGGGGTCCCCAATACTGACAATAGTTCCTGCGAATCACAAATAGATGGTTAGAAGCTGAAAGCAAATGCAACTACAGCTGTGATGTGTTGCTATCGCTATACGTATGGGAGAGAGTGCCTCACATACTCAGTTTCTCCATTATTTCCTCATCGGTCATCTTTCCTCCTTTCTTTTTCTGCTTGTCTGCTCCCTTAGAGGCGCTGTCTACATCTGTCGCTGGAATTGGGTCAATCACTGATCTTGTGTACACCTTACGTAATAAAAAAAAATCATTTAAAAACACATTTACCCTCACTTATTTCTCTAGTTTCCTTCTAATGTGTTTTGGAGCAGCTTACTCTATTCTTTTGTAAATCAAAGTAATTAATCAAAGGAACTAAAAAATATCAACTCAAATCTTAAAAGATTACCTTAATCAGGAACACTATGATGAATAACAGTGCATTTTATTGTCCAATTCAATCAGAAGAAACAAGACACAAAACAGCTCACTGATTTAGTATGCTCTGGCCGCGGTGCCACGACAGGGGGGGGCGTATCATAATCGTCATCGTCGTCGGCATCTTTGCCAGATGGGGATGTGGCAGTACCCTGCTTGCCTGGCTGTAGTGAAAATAGTGGGTGAAAAGGCACCAATGAAACTAGATGATCACATTAAGAGTAATTAGCTGGTGGAAAAGGCGGGCAAAGCTACTCACCGACTGTGAGTCTTTATCTGAAAGAGACAAAACAAAAGCAGAGAAAGCATGAGGACTGTCTGAGTGAGCGTGCACAGCACAGCACCGCAGTTCAATTTATCTGCTGACGCAAAGAAAACTGACCCGAGGCGGAAAAACTGAGGTATTTCTGTTTTCCACTGGTGGAGTCGTAGAACTTGAGAATATCGAGGACGGCCTGTGGATTCTGTTTCTGCTCTGATTTACTGATGTTGGAGGTCTGAAGGAGACGGGCCCACTGCTCCGGCATGCCCTGGGTAAACAAACATGCAGAGCACGCACACACTGATTTGAATCCGTAGATTGAAAGGGAGGGAAAGAAAGAAAGGCTGAATCATGCATGAGGAGCTTTTGCAGGTGGGTGTCAACTTTCCTCTATCTGTCGATCAATCAGAGTGACACCCAAAACAATAAATAAATAACATTTAACCCAGTTCCACAGTTTTTGATGTCAGCAAGCCGAAGATTAACATGTGGATGCTCTTACTAAGAAAGAATGCGGTAAACCAGTGCATTGCACAGCAATTTTTCTACACAACAGGAAATTCCTGGGACTTTCCCAGTGTCCTCATGGTGAAATCATCAACAAATCCTCTGGAACACCAACGCCAGCACTTAATCATAACTATCAGCACAGAGCAGATTATGCCTCCTTTTTTAATATGCTGTCAGTGCCTGAGGTGGCTGTGGTGTATAAAAATATCATTTTATAGTTTGAGTGCCTGTTTTACCCAGTATAAATGATAGAGGGATGGTCTATGGATTCAATCTATAGATTCTAGAGGTGACGTCAGACACAGATGTTTGTAGTGGTAGAGCAGCAGCTGTTCTTGACCAGTAATTTTCCTGTTCCTAATAATGGGTATGCCATACGCTTTGATGTCGTTTTTACCAGTCCTGCGTTTCTAAATGTTTTAAGGATGCTGACTGGTCTCCACAAACCCTGTACACCGGTGAGACGGAGAATATGTAGAATATGTTGATACAAGCAGCAACCCTAAAATAAAGCTAACTAAGTCGCTAGAATAATATCCCTGTTTGACAAGCATGAAATCAAAGCCTGGTTTAGATTTTAAGTTGGTTACTTACAGTAAATTCTCCGGTAACGGCATCAAAACCCACATGGATGGTGTGCTCAAAGTCCGAGGGGAAAGAGATCTCGGGCCTGTCCTTGTCCCGATCCTTCTTCCTGTTTGCTGCAGTGAACAGATCAGGGTTAATGCGTTCTCCCTCACTCACGCCACCTTTAACTGCCTATTCAATTTGGAAGTATTCTCCAAATTCTCACCTTTCTCTGAGCCGAATATTGAGATGATCTTGTTTCTGGGCTTCTTTTCCTCTGGTACGGAGGGCAGCGGCCGCGAGCTGTGATTGGCTGACTGGGGGTCCTTTGCACCTCCTTGGCTACTCATCCTGACAGGGGGGGCTGGGGGCTTGTCCTCACACACTCCGCTGTCACACATCTACACACACGTTCACCTGCAGAGTTAGGAAGACATGCGCAAAATTCGTCAACGACCAAATCAATCTTTGGCATGCTAAAAAGAGCAAGTTCAGAGTTTCACAATGCCACACCGAACCCTGCAGACAAGCTGTAACTGAGAGGCAGCTGCACGTTAGCTACAGGTTACTCAAAATGGAACAAAAACTCAGAAAAAAACCTCAAAGAGATTTAACTGATCCATCCATGGCACAATGTGAGAATCAGCAGTCCATGTTGGAGTGAAGGGATCAGAGGGTGAAAAGGAAGAACTGCTGAATGGGCAAAGTGACGTGTTGAGTCTCGTTCCAATGAATGAGGAAGGAAAACACAGAGAGAAAGAGAATGAGGAGTGTCTGCAGAAGAGTGGAAGACTGAAAAATTATGTGACTAGTGGAGTAAAAGGGAAAGGAGTGATGAGTAGCTCAGTGAGGATGAAAAAAGATCAGAACAGGATGATGTAAAACCTCAGAATAATTTTGCAGACCAAAGAAGCATATTTTTTTCCTCATTCTCATATTTAGAGGAGGTGTAAGTGGTAAAAAGAATATGACTAAGAGTCTGCCTATTCCAAAGCTGTGACCAACAAAACCTTTCCTTGTCAGTAACTGACTGTAACTTGAAGAGAACCTCTTTGTGTTCAGCAATCATGAGCTGGCTGATTTTATGTATTCATCTACTTTATTTGATTCTCCAAATAATATCCCCTTTTGACATCTGCCAGATGTTTTTCCATTCAGAACTAATCTAAAGCCGAGCTGATATCACTCGCTTATGGCAATCAATTCTAATGAGCATTCATCAGTTCATTGTCAGGTAGTTCAGTTTATATGGCTTAAAATGTGATAAGAGCATGGAAACTATGAATATATGTTAAGGTCCAGTCAGTCACTTAATTGGAATAATCCCATTGGCCAAAATTTAAAGGCAGAGCAGGTGAATCGATTAAAATGTTCAACACATCATACCACTTCTGACTTCGACTGAGGGGGAGCATTTTAGTGAGTAAAATCTGGAAAAGTTTTAAATGACCAGGGTTTGACATGTAGTCTCAACAGACTAACGTGAAAATTGTGAGTGACAGCAGCATCTGTATGAACACATACTAACACTTAACAGTTTTTAAGAAAAGATGGATGACGTTGAACTTTAAGGTGTTCTTTGTTGTCTACGACTTCTTCCTCTCCTTTTGTGTGCTGGACAGGAACTGCGCTGAGAGAACAGTCAGTTCAGTTCGAGTGGACTGGAGCGTGTACATCCAGGGAGGATTCAGCTCCAAAATGCACTTTCTGGGTGTGTTAGCTAGTCCAGTTTTCAGGATTGAGCTAACATGACTATTATATGGAACGTGCTTTTTTTTTTATTTTAGTCAGAGTTTGCTCTATGTAACATGTTAGTTTGTCATCGTGAAACTAACATGTAGCAATACAGAATGCATTTCTTTCCCCTTAGATTTTAATACCAATGCACTGTGGATGAAACCTCAGACTACAAATTTGAGGAATACTTTCCGCAAACTTTTGAATTTCATCCACTAACCAAATATGGTAGAAACGGAGATTGCTGACGCTAACAAACCTGAACACAAAACCCCAAAAGCACCTTTCTGAGTCTGCCAATGCAAGCAATTTGATCAGCTTTGAGCTTCAGGCTGCGTTTGAGGTGACATCACAGACAGGAAACAGGAAGCAAACAAAGGCTTCCGCGCTTCCTGCGTCTGACCGCCAATGACACAGCTCGTGATAAAACACAGCAGAAAACGTGGCTCAGGTGTGTGTGACCTCCTCCTCGCACACAAAGCATTCACCTGCAAATGGCTTGCAGGTCTGACTACAGGTCAAACTACACCGAAAACCCGGCGAGCCACCTCCACGTGCACATCTGGATTCAGACTTTTTGACACGTTAACCATGAGCAACACAGTAAGTCCTAGTTGTCACCAAAAACAAAGGCATTTCACACAAGCAGATTAGTTCTCATGACTGAGCCGCGGCTTTACAAGCTGAAGAGACCAGCATTAACTCAACTTAGGACTATGAGTTCCCCTTCTTAAAAAACAGTCAGCACACTGTATCTCAGGGCTTTACATCAGCAGCAAGTCTGAGACAATAGATGTCTCTATACTTACAGTTTTTCATTGCTTCGACCATCTAAACTCACGGTCTGTTAACTTTCCAGTGTGGTGATGCGGAAAATGACAAAACCACACAAACTGCATACGACAATGAGACACTTCCCTGGCTTGCTTTAGACCCCCCAAATCTTTTATATGTTCGACTTTTAAGCTGTCAAAACCTTACCTGTTTGTGGTCTCTTCTTCATCCAACAAAAGATCGGGTCAAAAAAGAAAAAAAACTGCTCTATCTCCAGTGAGTGTGAGGCGTTCATTTACCAGCTCTGGTCCCCTAATAGTCTTTCTCTCTTTTTGTCCCTCTCTGGGCAGGTCTTAGCAGGCTGCTTCATTCCTCAGCTTCTTGGATGGGGCAAGTGTATTCTTGCCCCAACGGGACAAAATTACACCAAACTGGGCCTTAATGCGCTTTATCAAAGGCAGTGGGTATGTGCATGCTGGGCTGAATGCTGGGGGCGGGCGGTCCAGGTTGAGACAAGCTACCGCTCAGCAGGAATTCCACGGCTGCAGGGCTGCAGTTTGGGCGGGGTGTGTTCCACACACACACACACACACAGTAGCACACAGTAACATACAAATCGCCAAAAACACAAACTCCTCCTCCCTACAGAGGCACCTTTGTGAACTGGTAAATGTTTTTTTAAGTTGTTTCAAGGTTTAGTAGTATGGCAGGTGCACATATTAGCACCAAGCACTAGAAGGTTGTGTTTTTATAACTCCCCAGGTACCAAGACTACAGACCTTACAACCTAAGTTTGACAATTTCTCAACAATATATAGTATTTAGGCAATCAGAAGATGTTTGATAAAAATTTAAGTTTTTATCAATGTACGTTTTATATCCCCTGTTGGTTTTTGTACATGCAGATTCCATCTATCTTTTTAAAAAAATACTTTTATAACATAAATATGTGATATTAGAAAGATCTGGTTAAGTTAAGTGAATGAAAAAGATTTAATTCATCCATTCATCAATTATCTTTTATACCACTTATGCCATTCAGACTCCACACAGAAAAGCCTCCGGTCCCTGAGGGTTTAGAACGAAGAACCCTCTGGCTGTGCTAACCACATCACTGTGCAGCCCAATAAGCAAAAAGCTAAACATATAAGAATTCTCCTTATCAGGGGCTCAAAAAGACACGGTGGAGAACAATGCTTTATAATATCAATATTTGGCCCTGGCAGGATAGTTTGACATTATCTAAAATTGATTTATGCTCTGTTAAGTTGTGCAGCGAAAGAAACTAATGATCATGTCATCAATTTAATGATTACTTTCCAACTGGTGTGGACGTTTTTTTGTAAATGCAACAAATCAAATAAAGAAAAATAATTAAAAGAAAAGTAGATCTGCAGTCACACTATTGTAAATGACTGAAAGTAGCGTGATCACATTCAAACTTTTCTCTTACTGAGCCTTTATTGGTTTCAAATGTACTCCCTCAAACTCTGCATTCTTGGCTAGCAAACATAGCATTTTATACCCCAGCAGCCTTCAATTCACAGAACCTCTTTTCATAAAAACGCCTCTGAGCCTCTAAGATCTCTCTGCCGCTGATCATTCCTGTTCCTCACTCTCCACTCTCTCACTACATAAGCGTACTTTCTATTCCCTGTGGCTAACAGTTGTCAAGGGAAGCCCACTTCCTCATCCTGGAACTCCCTTAGCCCCAACGGGTCACAGGACCAGGTCTACCAATCAGTTTGCAGCATACACAGCCGCCAAGCTGTTTACAGGAAGTCGACAACAAGCCTTTTGTGTTCAGCTTCTATAAAAGGAAATTCTGTGGACGGCTTCCTGGAAGGAGTGATGGAGCTGACACACTACTCACTTCCACTGCTTTCCATTCATTAACTGACAGAAAAATAGCGATCCTGTTGTAAGAACACATGTTCAATACATCTGAAACATACAAGTATGCTTTGTCAGCACCTCCTACCTTTAACAGTCTCTGTTGCTCACTGGTCTAGCAGTGGGTGAAAGTAAACAGAATCCAGTTGCACACCCACTCCGAACGCCTTATCCTGTTATTCAAATTGATGCCTCACCCCCTGCCAACATTTTGACATGTCAAAATCATCAACCTGGCTACCTGAAGTTCAACGCCTCAGGCTCTGGGTTGGGTTAAGAAGTTAGTTTGTGGTACCAAACGTGTCATCTCAGCTGGGTGAAGAAATCTAGAGCACAGATTTTAAGACTGGTGTAAAGCTTTGATGGTAAGGACACATATAATTCAAATTAATTCGGTTCAAGTTTTCCACAGATCAAACTATTTCAACTCATCAATCTACAGTAATTAATAAAGTGAATATATTAAGGAAAACTTTGCCGTTTCCCCTTTCAGTTGTGGTCTGAGACAAAAAAAATCTTTAAACCTTGAAATATAAGTATCATGTGTAATTTGGCTGTGACTGATACGTTCAAATGGCCTCTCAGGTAAGTAAACCCGTTTTAATGTCCTTTTTTTAGGCTGGTAAACACTGGTTTAGTGGGGGGGAACTCCAGGGGCAAAACAACCATATGTATACTTTGTACCACTTCAAGTAGCTTAAGTTATAACTTGCTGTTACCCTTTTGGAGTCTAGCTTTGCACAGTTTAGCACGACCAAACTTCGAAGTTCGAACATAAAATTAAAAAGACATTACACTGAATTTTAAATGTGACCCTCTGTTAGATTTAATGTCATTTACGTTTGCTTTTAAAAAACTTTCAAACTGTCTGACATCCCAATAGACAGTCATTACATTGATGTAAAAAAAATAAAAACAAGGCCAGCCACAGACACAATTAGCATTTGTATCTATATCTCCTTACGAGGCGGAAAAAAGTCCCCCCAGAGGCTGTGAGGGAAATCCAGCTTATGTGTGAGAGTTACCTTTGGGAGTATACTTAACTTATAACTTCCCCAGAGGACGAGACTGATGGTACTAAATGAGCAAACTTAAACTCACCGGTTGTTGTCAGTCGCGAAAAATATCGGCTGCACTCCCGAAACTCCGCCCTGTTTCTGCTTATTTTTAGTTCGTTTGAAGCCCAGATTCGACACTGAGATTTCACACGTAGAGTCCCGCGACCGTGAAAAACGATATGGTCTTCAAAAACGACACCAACTTTATTCGTGTCTCACTCCCCGGGTATTCCAAGCGAAGTTCTTTGCTCGGTCCGGGGAGGAACCTGGCTGAGAGGAAGCGGAACCTCTGGGTAACAAACTCAGGGATCCGAACCTCACGGCCGCCGTAGTGCGTCCAACACTTAAACGGCGCGTAAAACTGACACGTTCATGGCTCACAGAAATGAAGCCGGAAATTGGGCATCTTCAGTTTTCAGCATAATACGCACTGGAGAAAGTTCTGAAAGTGCAAATTCATTTAAAATTGCTAACGATCAAATATGTATTTAAAATGGAATACATTTTGTTGCTACTTCTTTATTAAATGACTGGTTGTTGGTTTTGATAACAAACTGTCATGACAGCACTGATTTATTTTGGAAGTCCTAAACGGAAGTTCTTTACTCAACACAACAGTTTCACTTACAATTAATTACCTCAAACATCAACAGAAGATGTGTTTTCAAAACCTCTGAGTCGCAGCCTGAATTGAAAACATTGGCCATTGGCGAGAGGAACTAACAGTATGACCATATTATTAAATGCATATGCAGTTTGATAATTAATATGGGCGCACAGCCCAAGCTTGCTAACATTTTATGGAACAAGGAGCATGGGCTAACTAACGGCAAGATTTAGCATATCATCGTAGTTTCTTATTTTCCTCATGGGGTCATTTGGCCTAGAGAGCCTGTCAGAAACGTTTACATGTTTTTGTGGTGGACGAGTTGGCGTGGCTGACTGTCAAGTCACTTAGAATTCGGTCTCTTCAAATTAACTTAGTGTTCATTCCATCCACTTTGTGTTTATTTTCAAGAAGTTAGTTCCTGTTTTTACACCTTGCTACCAGTCGTAGGTGTTTATTTGTCAGCTGACTGTCTCCCTCCCTACGCATGTGTTTGTCTTCTGTCTCCAGGCATGTTTTCACGCAGGTGGAGGTTCGGTTGGGACGGGGTCAGCGATGTGGACCTGTTCACTGACCGCCATGAGGCAAACGCAGAGACTCTCTCTCAGGCCATCAGAGCTGCAGCATCTCAGGAGCCGGATGCAGATGGCAGCGTACTGTTTGGCCACCTGAGGGGCACAGTGGTCGGCCTCAGATATTACACGGGGGTGGTGAGCATCAGTCAGGGTGGCCTGTGTTTATCTGCTGCACAGATTTGCGGGGAAAACCAACCACACACTGGACATGTTGCAGAGATTCACACAGATCAAAGAAGGCCAACGTGCTGTGCAGAATATAACAACAACATGTGAACATAGACAGATTAAAATCATGTAGAATTTTATTTGAAATAAAGCCAGTTCAAAGTGACTGGTTTTGAAACTATAAAAACGTGTGAGAGTTAAAATATGCAGAGCTGTTGTAAGATTGCGATGACTTTCTTTTAGTGATTGCCAAAAATGATTGGTTTCACTTTAGCAACTTCTTTTAAAGAAACCTTTAATCACTGCCGTTTGTATCCTCACTGGACAGGTCAACCGTGGGGAGATGGTCGGTTTAGTACGGGAGCCCAATAATCCGTACGACCGCAACGCTGTGATGGTTGCAAATGTCTACGGCAACCAGGTGGGCCACATCAAGAAGGAGCTGGCGGCATGTATGGCCCATGTGATGGACAACAATTTGGCAAAAGTGGAAGGGTGAGTGGTAATTGGTACTAGGTAAATTCCAAAACAATTACAGTGCCTTGTACTAATGGGCTCAGTGGTTGCATACAACTGAACATCTGTGGGCTTATGTGAACTTTGAGATACATCTCATTGTCAGGATTGTGCCATCGGGAACGAATAACCAATTCACCATGCCAGTCATGCTGTCTTTTTGGGGGACAGAAGAGAACAAAGCGGCAGTTACAGAGCACATGCTACGTCGAGGATATAAATTGAACTCGGATGGAAGCGGACAGACAGGTACACGTACAAACAAGCTCACCTCTGTTGCCTCATCTTCTGTTTACTGATGGAAAACCTTTGCTTGTGCTTTTAGGCAAAAGTCTGAAATCACAAGGTAGTACTGGTGCACGTGCATTTTCATCTAAAAAAGGTGTGACCATTCCACTAACTGCAGAGGAGGTAAGTGGAAGTCGTCACCTCTTTGTTGAGCAACTTGGATTTAGTGCAAAATTTTGCAATTTGAAGCAAAAGTGACACAATCATATTTGTCTTAGTCTGAGAAAAATCACTCTGAGACTATATTCTGGTTGAGCATAATTTGTCTTGGAATGGACCCGGCTCTCATAGCTGAGCTGTACAAACTTTGAAATCTTATTGTTGATGTTTATCCTACTCAGATAGAAACAAGAAGAAACCATTCATCTTATAGAAATCCTTTCATTGTTCTGATATGTTTATAAGGCAAACCATTTAACAACCATTTTTGTTACATTTTTAAACAGAATATTTCCCTTTATCTCTATCTCCCAGCTAAAGAATGCATTTGATAACCTGTTTGAAGGTTTGATGGAAAGCAAAGATGGGGAGAAAGATGCTGCTGAGGTAAGAGGTCTCCATTTGATTGCTCTTCCAACAGTCAATGCATCACATTTAGAATGTTGCTACTGATGTAACAAGATGTCAAGCCAGAATGTCATGGACATGAATTTATTTGGCATTGCCTTTGCTTTTTTTAATTGTTTCTGTCTCGGATATAAATGTCAAGTTATCTTTTTTCCTTAGTCTGTGGCCACTCCCCTTCTGCCTCACCAGAAGCAAGCGCTGTCCTGGATGTGCAATCGAGAAAACAAATCTGTGCTCCCACCATTTTGGGAGAAGAGAGGAGAGTTGTACTACAACAGCCTCACATGTTTTTCTTCCAAAGAAATACCAGAGAGAGTTCGTGGGGGGATACTGGCCGATGATATGGGACTGGTGAGTTAAAGAGACAAAAAGAAGTAAAATAAATGTAGAGGCAGTGTTTGAAGTTCTCAATCCACCCTTACTGCTTCTAGAGGAATTAAGGTAGCTGCCAATCAAATGCACATCAGTAACTGGAAGCATCTCTATAGGAGCAGAAGTTTTTTCCTTTTCTGCTGATGTCTTGGGTGTATTAACACAATGCCAAGAATGAAAGCTAAAAGCAATTATCAAATAGAAACAGTTATTTGGCCAATTACAAATTGTTTGTAGGCCATCATTATGCAGAAAGAGATATTATTTATGAGCAGAGAAAGCATTTTAAGACAGTTAGTTAAGGTCCCAGCTAGTCTACCTTAAGGTCACAGAGAAACGGCAGAAAGAGATCATTCTCAGATGCTTACTCTAGTGAATGTTGATTTTTTTTTCAGGGTAAAACGCTGACTACAATTGCTCTGATCCTGACCAACTTTCACAAAGGAAAGCCTCTGCCTTTGCAGAAATGTGTAAGTATCCTTATTGTGTCCCTTTCATTAAATGTTTGAGTGAGTGCTAACATTAGCTGTTACAGTGTTTGCTTACCTGTGTGCAGGATGAGCAGTTTTCACCCGCCAAAGCTAAACTTACACCTCAAAAGGCCAACAAAACAGAGGGTACTTTTCCTCTTTAGTTTATTTACTGCTGCAATTCTTTGTTTTTGCCTTGCATTTGAACTTTTTATGAAACAAATATTCTTCCGTATGGACATGGAGCAAATAAAAGGTATAAACTGAACAGGCTGTCATGCGTTTTTGTTACAGGAAGCAGCAGTAGAGGAGATGGGGCGGCTGTTGAAGATGCAGCCAGTTGTTCTGAAAGCTCAAATCTGTAAGGATCATTTGGTTTAATTGACCATTGATTTTTTTTTTTTCACCCCAAAAACATTTATTATTTAAGTTTCATCAAACCTGAGTTGTTATGTTTTATCAAACATAAGTTGTGATGTTTCTGCTGGGTTCAGAAGCAAGGAGGGTTTGATCTGTCCTGATCCAGCAGATGTGATGGAGCAAGCCGAAGAAGCGCTCAAAAGTAGGAGCTAATATCTTCATATTTAATCTATTAAATTTCTTATACACATTTATTTCGGGTGTTTTTTCCAAAACCTTTATTATGTGGCTTTTAGACATTTTTTGTTATTCCACCAATAGGTACAAAAATGGGGAAGAAGAAACCCACCAAGCGAAAGCCCAGTAAAGGTGCGAACAAAAATAAACTATTATAGAAATGTAAACATCCACCTTAAAAAGAAGACATTGGAATTATTGAACATAAAAGTATTTCAACTACTCTCCTGATCACTTCTTGTTGCACAGAGGGTCCAGTATTGTTTGAGGATCTGGATTTTGCTGCCGCACTGGGCAGCTCCACATCAGACATAGGTAAAAAAAAGAAGAAGAAAACACCTGAGAATACCAATGTCACACAGGGTGAGTTAAAGCGGTTTGACTCAAATTCAGTTTGAGGAAAACTGAAGTGTGTGTGAACATCACCTGTTGATGGACGTGTCGTGTGCTCAGGGGAGGAATTCTTCATCACTGAAAACACAGATGACTTATCAGCAAGAGCAACTCTCATCATCTGTCCACTGTCTGTGCTCAGCAACTGGCTGGTAGGAACACAATATATTTTTTAAAAAGAAAAGACAAAATTCACACACATTCCCCCAGAAATGTTTTAATGAGCTCTTAGTGACAAGCACATGGTTTTAAAAAAAAACAGAAGCCTTTATTTTGGACAGCCACAACAAATAGTTGAACTGTTGAACTATTAACTACTGCCAAAGAATACAGTGTAAATCACTCTACATTTGGTAAAATGTGTCTTGGTGCATGTGTAACTCTTCTCTTGTCTGTTGTCTTGGCGACGTTTTGCAGGATCAGTTTGAGCAGCACGTGCATGCCAATGTGAAGCCAAACATCTATCTGTACTACGGCCCAGATCGCAACAGAAGCAAAAAGTTTCTGTCCTCTCAGGATGTGGTGATCACCACGTACAACGTCCTCTCTGCAGACTTTGGGGTGAGTGGATGGTGGGCACACCTAGCTTGTTTCTGCAGGCTGACAAAAATGTTCATACCTGGTTATGCTGATTTGGACAGTACATAGTTTCAGAATATAATCACAAGCATCTTGTAAATGTCTCTTCTTAAGCAACTCACTGGAGTTGTGGTCTACAATGATTCTCTTTTTTTAGAATAAGAGTCCTTTGCATGGGATCAACTGGCTGAGGGTGGTGCTGGATGAAGGACATGTCATAAGAAACCCAAATGCGCAGATGAGTAAGGCCGTGCTTGAACTAAAAACTCAGAGGCGCTGGATTCTTTCAGGTACACCAGAATGCTGATACGTTTACACAACTATCATGTTCATGTTTCAAACTTTGTTTTAGTCCTTAATGGAAACAGAAATGTTATTTATGCATGCTGCAAATCCCAGGAGACAATGTATTTTACACATTCTCCTTAGAAAAAAAAGCAACTCCTCAGAAGTTACTTTTGATTGTTGACCGTTTCACCTCTAAGCTACTTAATATGGTCCCATTTATTTTAATCAACAATCGTTTAATCTTTTCAGGGTATAGATTTAGTTCTTGTTGTTTTTAGTTATGTTGGTGACATTCACTTGCTGTCAAACCCCAGTGTTCAGGGGCCACTGCCCTGCAGTTTTTACTGCATTAGTGAGCCTCATAATGTAAATGCTTATTCTGATCTATCCACGCACTTAAGGTACTCCTATCCAGAACAGTGTGAAGGATTTGTGGATGCTACTGGCATTTCTGCGTCTGAAGCCTTTCGATGTGAGAGAATGGTGGAACAGAGTGATCCAGAGACCTGTCACACTTGGAGATAGGGCTGGCTTGCAGTGAGTGCTCACACATCTGTTCCTTCTACTGCTGCAATGGAGCAGAAATACTCTAGAGGGAACTATTTCCAACAAAAAGACAGAATGTCTCACAATGTTGTAGTATTCCCTTTTTTCATAACTATGTAACATGTCATTCTGCTGCTTTATCTTTCCTATTCAGCCATCAGTGTAATTTATCAATGTGATTTGTCACACTTCCACCCCCCATCTATTACCAGACATATTTTTTTCAAAGTTAAAACCCTTGCTATTTTGTGCAGAAACCTTCAAAACTTGGTGAGGTGCATCACCCTGAGACGGACCAAGAGCAGCGAGGTGAACGGACGCCTTCTGGTGTCGCTGCCTGAAAAGACGGTCTACGTGGAGCAAGTGGAGCTCAGTCAGCAAGAGAGGGAGGAGTACGAACTGGCACGCAACGAAGGGAGGAACACTATTGGCAGGTGACGGATGTGTTCAGCTTACTTGTGAAGAAGATCACAGCCATGTGGCCTTGTTTTGTGTAACTGTGTCAGCGGTGTTGCTTTTTCTAGATATGTTGCTGAAGGGACCATCTTGAGGAATTATGCTGATGTGCTGGCCATTCTGATGAGGCTCCGGCAGCACTGCTGCCACCCCGGTCTGCTGCCAAAGGCATCTTCCGATTTGGGTAAAAGTGGCATAAGAACAGAGTCGCTAATCAGGGAGGGAGATTTCCAATTAGGATTACTTATTTACTTGCTAGGCAGTATCATTTTCTCCAATTATCTCCACATTTGCCTGTCTTGAGCCGAAATGCATTATCATGAGAAGCCCTGCTGATCTGCAGGTGTTATATCTGCGGCTTTTTTACTGCTGAGCATGGCCACATTTTAAGAGCTTTAATGAATTAATTATGGCACCTAATTTTTGTATCTCTGACTTTCTCTTTGGGGCTTTTGTAGTTATTCCATTTCCATCTTATCATGGGTTTTGCTTGGTAATCAGAAGCAACATGGCATTTATTGCTCCAACATCATTTTTATGTAGAATAGTCTATTCAATTTTAGTAATCCTCATATGCTCATAGTTGTTTGAATATCTTTTCCCCCTTCACATGTCCTCACTCTGATCTCTTCTGCAGGCGCTGCAGCAACACCGGCTGAGCTGCGCGAGCGTCTGATAGAAAAGCTGCGGCTGGTGCTGGCCAGCGGCTCTGATGAAGAGTGCTCAGTGTGTCTGGACTCAGTCCGCCTGCCCGTCATCACACACTGCGCACATGTTTACTGCCGGCCCTGCATAGCCCAAGTCATCAGCACAGAGCAGGTACATGTGGCACTAATCAGTTTATCCAAACACACAGCTCTTGACTGGAGGTTTAGGTCGTTTCCACCTACTCTGCGTGTTTGCTTAGGCAAAGTCACGGTGTCCTCTCTGTCGAGCGGAGATTAAAACCGGCGAGCTGGTGGAGTTTCCGCAGGAGGAGCTGGAAGAGGAGAACGCTACGAATACTGAAAGGTGGAGGACAAGCTCAAAGGTACTCACTGCTCACACTGAGGCCCAGAAAAAGCTTTTTCTAAAAACCGCTATAACTGTCTGCAGTCCACTAAATTATGCAGAACGCAGTCCTTAAATCACAAGATTCTGTTTCTAAGTTTAGTTTAATCACTGGATTCAGTGCTTTATAATGTAAAACGCATACAAAGATTAATAGAAGCTAAAATGACCAACATTGGAGCTATTTTGATGCGTTGTTTTATTCCATGCTTTATATAAAAGCTGAATTGCAGAGGGTTGTGCGCATGATGCGTATTAAGATTAGACTAAGAGTTAAGGTCTGATAAATATGGAATTCACCCTGTGCGGTTTGTTTGTGTCCATCAGGTTCAGGCGCTGATGGGGAACCTGCTCAGGCTGCGGTCGGACGATAGCACCATCAAGTGTCTGATCGTCTCCCAGTTCACACGCTTCCTCACCATCCTGGAGACCCCACTCAGGTAGCCGACACAGTCTTAACATGAGAGGCTAGATACTCAACAGAGGCAGGGTTAGGTTCACATGATTCCAAGCATTCAAACAGAAATCGCTATCATCTGTTCCAAAACAACATCCAATTGTTGAAAGCAGAGACAGCATGTGATTTTTCTGAAATGAGTCTATTAAATTGAAATTTATTACTAATCTTTTTTCTGAATCCACCCTCGCCAGGGAACACGGTTTCAGTTTTGTGCGTCTGGATGGTACGATGAGCCAAAAGAAGAGGACCCAAGTCATCCAGGAGTTTCAGAGCTCCGCAGTAGACGGCCCAACCATCATGCTCCTGTCACTCAAAGCCGGGGGGGTGGGCCTTAACTTGACCGCTGCCTCTCACGTGTTTCTCATGGACCCTGTAAGTTTATCCAAGCAGCAACTGGATGAGTTCACAAATGACCATAGTGTAGTTTTTATCTCACCCAGTGAACAACAGTTTTCTGTCGTTGGCCCTAAAAATGCATGTTTCCCAATTTTTCTTCATAAATAACTTATTCAAATTTTTATCAGGGATTTAGTTTCAGTATATATTTTGATGTTGGCCTCTTAATATTTTTGCCAGCATCTAAAACTATTTTTCCGAGCCTTTTCCTCAGAATAGCCAAGAAAAGGAAAATGGGCAGAAGCTTAATTTAGATAATTAAATGCCATCCAAAATTAATGCGACTTTAACTAAGCCCCCGATCCAATTAATTATTTGATAAAGGATGATGTCTGCCATGATCCTGGATAAACCTGATGGGGGAAACTCAGCAACTTAGTTCCAAACAAAGAGTGAATCATAAAAAGGTTCTCAGCTAAAACTTCACCCATGGTTGATTTCCCATGTACGTCCGTTTAAGGCATGGAACCCAGCTACAGAGGAGCAATGCATCGACCGCTGCCACCGCTTGGGCCAGAAGAAGAAAGTTGTTGTCACCAAGGTGAGGAACATATGTGTTTCTGTGCTTAAGTAGTGCTACCTTTAAACGAAAGTTCCAACATATTGTCCCTTACATCTGTCACTGCAGTTCATTGTGAAGAACTCAGTGGAGGAGAACATGGTAAAGATCCAGAGGCGGAAGCAGGACCTGGTGGAGAAAGCCTTCGGCTCCACAAACACAGACAGAAAAACAACTCGGATCGACGATATCAGAGCTCTGATGGAGCTGTAGACGTCCAATAGTTGATATAAAATTATGATTCCGAATCCTTTTTCGTGATGCACAACTTAACATTTTGTATTTGTTCAGCTGCAATGTAATGCCAGTCGTGGCGTTACACAACAGCTTTTCAAAGCGGGAAATTCTATTTGTAACAATGTTCTTGGTTGTATTTTTCACTCTGAATTAAAGAAATGCAGGAAGGTAATTCTCAAATTGTGTTTTTGACAAGTGAAACTTTTCAGCAGTTTTAGCACGTGTCACATTCTAAATAAAATGTATTTGACTGCAAGACATTGATCATTTACGAATTGTTGATCAATTGGCCCTTTCCCAAACAAAAGTAAATATGCCAAAGAATTTTAAATGTCTTGCGTTCTTAAAACTCATCTGAATATGGAATAAAATTTCACATTGTGGCAGCCCCTAACAGTACAGTGACAATCAACATATGAGTAGAAATGTTTCCACAAGTTTATTCTTACACAGGACAAACATAACAGCAAGGAGACAGGTGAGCATCAAATGTTAACAGCTATCACTCCCACACTCAAGAGCTGTGAATGGGCGTCCCGGTCAACTTTACCAGCCTCTTGTGGGAGTGTGGTTAATGGACGGAGGAGCGTATTATAAGATGCTGCAGGTTGTACTTGTAACACTTGTGGAGTGAAGCAAAGAGGGCGTTGACCACGGGTGGGAGAGGAAATTCATCACCTGTTACAGTCAATGAGGTTTTGTAAACAGTGAATGGGCAATAAGGCAGCTGGTTAGACTACAGAAAGGAAGTGGTGAAACAGGCCATGGCACAATAATCACGGATGTAGAGACGTACGTGCGGTGCATGCGTACAAGACGTCTGGAGGGAGCACTAATGCTCAGTCCCATGGAGATACACACAAAACAGTCTACATCAGTTATAGACGTGGGAGGAAGCACTTCATTAAAGACCCGTGGTTTAAATGTGTCGTGCAAATAATACAGAGCACAACACCAGACGTTACAGAACAGCAGTCAGAGGTGGGGGTCTGGTGTGTGTGTTGGAGGCACAGGTGGGGATGCTACTCAACGCACTCCTCTAAGGAGGACAGTCACATTAAAGCGGGTTTGTCATTAATGACTGAAAAGGACGGCATGGTCTGCGAAAGGGAAACGAGCAAGTGGCTGCGTATCTGCTTTCAATACAGACTTGTTGCAGATTAGGGGTTACTGAAAATAACCTAGAAATTACAGCGAATCGCTGCCATATTTTTGGCTCAATTTTCCACAGTTTAGGGAGACTCGTGAGTTCAGGTGCATCACACAACAAGGAAAAGTTAGACATTTTTTGGAATCCGCTAAACCGACTTGTATTCTTGTCTAGAGTTAATTAAAAAGATGTCACTAATAATTCAAAACCAACAAGGCAATTCACTTTCCGTTTTACTCTCTCTAAACTCGTGAGTTTTGTTTAAATTTGACTAACTAGATAGAACTTTGAATTATTACTTTATGATTGGCTTACATGATTATCCTGTCATCCAACCTCTAAGGAAGTAAAGCGAAAAAAAGACCTTCACCTCAAATGTCAAACTTCTCCTTAAAAAAGGGGAAATGAATTGTGTTGTGCATGAAAGGATTGTCCAACTTTAGCTCTCTCTACAGAGCCTCAGGATGCAGAGAGTTAAAGTTGCACACAGGCATTCATCAAGCCCCTGAGTTTTGCGTGGTGGCAGATCACCACCACCCTCGCAGAGCTTCAGCTGGCTTCCGTCAGGCTACCGAAGCAACCTGCTACTTTAGGAAGGAGTTGAGTTTTTGCTCAATGTTGGCGAACGAATCGTCACCCAAGTAGTCTATCTGGCCTGCTTCCCAGCGCTGCTTCCTCTCTTCTGATGAAATCCTCTGGGAGGGGGGAGGAGGAGGAGAGGACGCCGTCTGCTCTTTCACGTCCACATGGAATTTATCCTGCAATACACAGAATGAGAGAGTCATTTAAAGAAACGCCGAGCTTTATACTTTAAAAGGAGATGTCCCGCTTTGCTTAGCTTTCCTCCTGCTGAAACTACATTTAAGCAGATGTGAACACAACAATTGCAAATATGATCCAGAGTAATGTTAGCTGTATGATCTACAGAATAGGAAAATAAATCAACCAGCTGGCTCCCACCACTGATCCAATTTGTTAAAACCACCCCCAGAAAGATGATGATATTACTGCTTCTGACCAGTAATTTGTTTTAGCATGTTTTCTTTCCTCCCTTCTTTTTTTGGATAGTGGAAGCCTTTTTTTGAACATTTTGGACCACTTTTTCCTCAACAGATCTAAGTTAGACATATAGTTAAGGATTTTCAATCCTATCACAACAAACATAAATATTTGCCATTGGCTAGATCAAGATTACAGCAAAATAAATATTGGTTGGCAAGAATGCTCCGAGGACAGAATCCTCTTTAAAGCAGAGGCTTCTATAATTATTTTTAATTGTTTCAGGAGTTTGCATTTGCCCAGTAAAGGTTCTTACTATTTTTGTCATGGGAATGACAAAAATTTACTTTGAAAAAAAAACAATCACTCTCTCCTCTGGCTTGCTGGCCTGAACTTGTGAGTGTGACACAACATAGCACAGCGAGTGGAAAAAGCCCTGGCCTGTCATGTGACTAAGAGCTATTTCACTACAGTGATGTTGACACAGACTGCATGGAAACATCCTACTGCTCTGGAAGCACTGCACGGATCAAGTGGTCCAGCCGAAGTCCCCTGATGTCAGTAAATTATTCAGCTGGTGATGACACTGCTGGGCGGGATGGAAAACAAAAAACAAAATGAACTCGGCTTTTGGCAGCGGACTGTTGCTGAGGAATGTGGAACCAATCGACTTTTACTTGCTCCTCTGGCAGCTGCCAGTGTTTTGAATTCATTAGATCCATTTTCCCCTTGATGGCAAATTCACGGTCTCCATATGAAACTTCCGCCGACTTGGAACTACACACTGCGACGGAGCCCCGTCTCAAGATGAGTATGTGCTCTCGGCAATGGAGGAGTTTCGACACAGTTGGGATGTGACAATTATGCAACGTGCTACAACGGATACAGCAGTCCTCCAAAACTTTTCATTCCTTGCATTGCATTCCCACCACAGCCACACCTCCCCTTTCCCACACACACACACACACACACACACACACACACACACTCACACAGAGACACACTGTTGTGATCACCTACATCACTGCTCGGGTCCACGAAGCCGCTGTTGAAAGGAGCATCCCCGTATGCTCTCTGCAGCAAAGGCAGCACAGATTTGGCGTACAGCTGCCACCACATGAGCAAGTAGTCCGCTTGCAGCTGGGAGTGGTCAGGCGTCTGATGATGACCTCTGACCTCTCCTCGCTGAGCATCGTAGGAGTAGTTCCAAGGCTTCACTTTGCCCAGGAAGTGCACCACCTTTGCATCGTGGCCATACCTGCAAAGAACATGCGTGTGAGGCCCCTGTAAACCCAGAAGTCTCCACTTTTCACCGTACAAAAAAGATTTTAGTAGAACCATTAACACTGTGAAATAATCTAAGAGGATTTTTTTTTTTTTAAAAACAAGATAATTTTAAGTACCGGCCAGAAAAAAAAAAAAAACACGTAAAATGAAAAATTATGATAAACTTGAAAGGCAAAATGAATACTCTAAATGCTAAAAGCAAAGCCTCCTGAGAAAAAGTGACTAAAGCTTGTATGTGTGTGCACTGACTGTTTGAAAGCTGGCAGGTAGGAGTAGATGGCGATACTGCTGAGGTTGTAGATGAATGGAAGGTGTTTGGAAATATCCGTTGTCGCCCAGGTGTTAAAGAAACTGTTCAGAACCCCCTGATCTCCTCCTGTGGAGACACAAAGAAACTCAATTATTATTTCAAACTTCGGCATCTTTGGAGATCCGGCAGATTTTCACTATGCTTCACAATAGACAGGAAAAAAAAAAAAAAATAAATAAAACCTATGCCACATCTGTTAAATGAACTCAAGGAATTATTATTCGGTTTCAGTAGCCCTCCCGCTGTTGAAATAATGTCTCAACATGCTGCAGTACGTGCTGCATATGAATGATGAACACATCAAAGTCATTCTGTGCATTCCCACAAGACTGTCCTGACATGTAAAAATAGAAACTGAAATAAGCGATGACACTGTGTGTGCGAGATGATGCTTCATACGACATATAGTCATGGCAGGCGATGGAAAGATATCAGTCACAACTCATGGCAAAATGTCTAACGTATGACCTTATAGACAAATATCAGATATCACTGTGTAGTTGTGCTTCATGCTGACACCGTCCAATCACAACTAGAATTTTTAGACAAAAGCGGATTGCAGTTCTTCATTCTGAGCCTGTATCGGTGTACTCTAAAGCTAAAAGGCAGCTCTGTAAAGTCACTGTAACTTTTGTGAGACAAGATGAGCTTCTCTTGCGCCAATGCTCCCACAAAACGACCACTTATAGATCAGAATATGTAATCCAGCTCTCATAAACCACTCAAATTTTTTAGAACTGTTACTATAAATAAAGCAAAGTAGAAAAAAACGAAACATAGAACCTGATTTTTTTATGATAAGATCTTCATCAGTGCCAGCAAAAATGCTTGTGAACACAACACAAAATAAACTAATTTGGACTTCTTAAAACTAATAATAAATAAAGCAAGACCATTTATTTGTATCATTCAGCTTAGTGGGAACATAATGTGAGCTATATTACACATTTCTGATGAATATTCATATTTTTTTTTATCTGTGAGCACTTTTTTAAATTTCTTTATTTTACAAACAATTAGTAAGTTCCACTCTTCTCACAACACTTACCATCAAAGCTGCCATTTTCCTCACAGAACGCCACCAGCTTTTGGTGCGTCTCATTGGACGGTCTGAAGACAAACACCCCAGAGTTGAAGCAATCTGGCCATCCAGGATCTGGAGCTGCCGACAGCTCCTCGCGCTCAAAGAGTTCATCTATGTTGGACAACACCTGCATACATACAAACGAGGCTGCTTACTTCCCAAGATGTCTTTAGAACAATTCATAAAAAATAAAAAGCCTAAGCTAAAAAAATGAATTAACGGTTTATTTTTTATACTGCAATGAGTGGCTTTTTTCAATAGTCAATGAGTCTTACCAGTGTGTCCGCATCCATGAACACACACTTGCTGTATTGGGTGAGTGTCCAGCAGTGCAGTTTGGTGAAGGTTACACCCAAATCAGGCCTCTTCATCAGCGCCAGATGAGCGGAATCTCCTGAATCCATCAGGTCCACCAGACACACTTCATCAAAAAGGGAGCGGAGTGCCTCTCTACAACCAAGACAGTGGAAAGTTTTTATTTATGTCACAGCCAGGGAAAAGCACCATAAGGAGTTGTGCAAGAGCTGTGTGTTACCTGCAGGGCTCTGCAACATGAGATCCTATGAGTACCACCAGTTTCCTGGTTGTGTTGTGGTTTCGCAACGACTGGCCAAGAACCATGGCTCCCTTGGCATAGCTGTCATTTGTGGCCAGAGTTACAAAAGCCTGGTCTGCATGGTTGGGGGTGGGGTAGGACAAAAAAAGAAAAGAAAAACTCATTACATGCCATGCAGAAATGTCAAATAAATGTTATTCATGATTAACATTTGAGAAGAAGGGTTACATGTTCATTTGTTTTGTTTTTTTAAAGATGTTCAATATTTTACACAGTGAACATACAAAATTCCAGTATTCCCTTTCATAAAAGTGAGATACATCCCAACTTTGTCTTTTTAAAATCAGAATGACGACAAGCAAGAAACTTCCATAGTGACAAAATCCATCGACTGATGAACTGTGCTCTTTTGTGGCCAATTCTTGCCAGCTAAAGCAACAGATTACCCATTAATCATTCCAGAGCTCAAGATAAGCAAATCAGCACCAGGAATGTAAATAATCACATGTTGAGAGCCTTTTTTTTTTTCTTTAAACCATTTTAAGATACAGAGCTGGTCTTGGACCCATCAGCTCAAACAAACAAACAAAAATCAATCTAAATTGATGTATCCTCCCACAGCACACATGACCAGCAGCGGAGGGTCGTGAGTGGTGTTGCTGCTGAACACAAACAGGCTTCAGGCCAACAAAGCTCAATGCTTCAGTTGTTGGGGGGGCTTGTGTGACACCCGATCTGTGTTGTAGAGCCGCACGGTTGCTAAGTTCTGATTCAAGGAACTATAAATCGACTATCAAAAGGCCAGAGTGTGAGAGTAAAACCCTACCCCCCCTTCTGACAAAAGCAGCTTAGGCAGCATGTGCTGCGCTCCCACAGTGTTATCTGTGGCTAAAATAGACACACAAAGACACAATACCAATGACTGCTTTGGAAACAAAAGTGTAAATAAAATGTATGTATCTATTTACAAGGAAAAAAGGGGAATAATATGCTGTTTTATAAAACAGTCCTGAGGGGCCTTAAAGGTCAAACTGATCTTACAGTTTTTCCAACTATCTGGAAAAACAATAGGTCAGAAGCAAGTGTTATTTTCACACTACTCACCAGAAGAAGCCTCGTGCACGACCAGAATCTATACCATTTTCAGTTGGTCATTTCATGTGTTCACCGGTTTATTGATTACAACTATGCATTAACCTTAAGTGCACCATTTCTTTTTAAATAAAAGAAATCAACCATAAGATGGAAAACTCCAATATGTAGGTAGCTCTGCTGCCACAACAGTTCACACCCCTGAGGCCATGGACATGTGGGTGGGTCCCATTGTGTCTAGCACCATTAATCAGACTCTTTTTGGGATTGTGAGTTTTAGACTACCAGTGGAAGTTTTTAACTTTATTTGACAGCCTTAAGGAATACTATACAATATTGTATCTTTAAAAAAAGAATGGTATGATAATTGTTACTCCCGTGTATGTAGTTTGCCGTAACTATAATGTTACACCTAAAGGTGATTATCACCCTTTGTGCCGAAAGTCAGTTTGGGAATACAAGTCATTACATTCCAGTTTAGCCAACCGTGATAAAAACATCTCAGACAACTACATTACCAGAGGAACAAAAAGTTTCTTATGATTAAGTAGTTACAAGGTCCACGTGCAGCCTTTAGAGATGTCCAAACTCTAACTAAATTTTCAATTTTTTTCTCAAAAGGAAATCAGTGGATTTTATTTTTTTTTTTAAAGGCCATCTTGCAACAGCAAAGGTTAAATCAAACAACAAATCATTGACATTCCGGCCACATCCAACACAACAGATGACCACGAGTTAGACCTCGAGTTAGGCCATGACCTGTGAGCCACATCGGGGCTTTTCCCAACACCTGAAACATGGGCCAGAAATTAGTTTGTGAAGCAGAACTTCGCCATGCTTCCTGTGTTGGCGTTACACTAACAATTCAAATTGTTTGACACTTTGTAAAACTTTTTTCTTAAAACAGAAAACAAAAATCCAAGCTGGGTTGTGAGGGGCCTATAAGGCTCAATTGTTATTTCCCATTATAATTTTTAAGTTGGTTATTTTATTTCTAAATTTCACACCGGATTTGGTGCTTTTCATTTTCGGCCTTTTGACTTCCAGACCGCTGCAGCAGGTCATCAAATCAAACAACCAAACCTTAAAAAAAATAACCCCGCAAAGTGACCGCATTAACGCGTGGACGTGCTGGCCTCAGCGATGCCCCCGGGACCGGGACCGGACCCGGACCCGGACCCGGACAGTCAGCAGGTGTTTTCGGCAGCCTTGAATAAATGCGCGATATTTCGGGAGATTGAGACGGTTGGCGCATCTCCGGTCCGGTCCAGAACGGCCGTGTTCCAGTGTGGTCAGCGACGGCCGCGAGAGCCGACCGAGCCTCGCTCAGTCTTACCTGACATGGTGTGCTGAAGAGGGTCCACCCGAGGTTCAGGGGTGGGGACGGAGTAGACAAACGGTTTGCACTGCGAAGGGCAGAGGCGCAGCAGCTGGGAGCAGTTCAGCGCAGGAATTAAAGCCCACATTTTCCGGGTCACGTGACCACTGATAGGGACCCGCCCCCTGCGGTTCCGGATCTCGATATAAAACTTTATTAGTTGCGATTAAACAAAACAAACAAACCCATCAGTAAGTCTCATACAGAAGGCGTATTTGAGAGCAATATTAATGCTCAAATTCGAGGCATTCTAGAATTTTGCAGGGCAGATTCAAATGTCAGAACTATCAACATTGACATACTTCGAAAAAGTCCTGATAGTAAAGAAACATTCAGGTAAATTGTTCTTTAAAATTGTATTCAAGTGGTTTCACTGGCTTTAATACATGGCATTAGTGATTTTAGAACATGTTTACCACTTAATTTTTTAGGGAGAACTTCCAATGTTGATCTTAAGTTATGAAAGTTATCAGCTGAACACATTAAATACATTATTTTCTTTTGCATTTGGACATATTGGTGGACATTTTCAGAATTTATAACTGAAGTTTAAACATATGCAAAATTGTTTTTTTTTATTTATTGGTGCCTTTCCCATGTCTTTACTTGCAGTATTTTGTACTGTGAAAGAGACTATTTTTGTGATTGCGAGTCTTTATGAGGGGCATCATATTTAATACCTCACTTTTGTATATTTGTTTTTAAAATCCTTTTGTAATGAATCAATTGAGCATTGGAAATTATTTAAATAGATAATTGAAAGATTTATATAAACTCCAGATGAATAAATATCTGGCACTAACTACCCCTCTAATTAATACACTTTGTAGTTTACGATTGAAAAGGTTTCGGGTTTATTTGTTGTATCTCAAGCTCTATTTTGCAATTAATGATCATTTTAAAAAATCTACCTATGCTCAAGCTGAGCAGCTATAAATCAGCTGAAAGACTGAGTCAGTACTGCCTCAGCGTGGCCATGAGTCCATATTACAGTTGAACGATCATCATAAGATCTGTTTTAGAATATTAAGGCGTATTATCCAGCATCTATTCATTACTGGAAAATGTTCTGCTTGGACTTTGTTCTATCATTGCTGATAAAATGTGATGATTTCCCTATTATAACAACAATGTTCCGAATTCTTACTTTCTGCAGAAAAGCTGTTTTAATCAAGCTACTAATCAAATGGATGTAATCCAAATGTACTTTTTGCTACTTAATAATGTTTCCCATGTGGATATTTCTGCACACGTGTTTATAGGTTTCATGAATAATTCAGGATGTTGATGAGATGTGTCTCAGGGACTATGAACTGATCCTGGTTCAGCGTTTCCGGCTAGAACAGCTTTTCCATCAGCACAGTGAATCAGAGATGCCTCCCTGCGACCAGCAATGATGAAGACACTGTAACTGGAGACCAGGCTGATCAGGTGTCAAAGGATGAAAAAAACTGAGAGGAAACAAAAACACAGAGTCTACGACCTGTGAGGAGTTCAAATTTAAAGGAGAGCTTAAAAGTAATACGTGTAGTATAATGTTTCTTTAAGCGTAAACGGACGCATTATCCCAGGCTTGTGCCTTTGCTCCAGTTGATTATGAAACAGGAAATGCTTTTGAGTATTCAGCGAGATGGAGGGACTGTGTGACAGGTAAACACAAAAAGAAAAGGAAAAGCCTTAATAACAAAAAAGAGAAGGTTCAGAAGGAGGGGCTTTGAAGGAGTAAAAGGAAGAAAAGAGCCCATTAATATTTCTCTGCAAGCTGATTTTCTCCTCTGGGCTGACCCTGCATTGGACTCGTGCCCCTTCTGGGTACTGACAGTAAGCCTATTATTTTTGTTAGATACTTATTTCAGTTTTACTTGTGCATTTGAGTTACCAGCGGTAGAGTTTTCTGTTTAAGTGTGCCATAATAAGGGGTTTCGGACAGAGAAATGTTGAATGTTAAAGAAGTACAACCAATCTTCTTAGAATTAAGAAGTGAGCAGAACGTATATAAGCAAAGTTATGACGGAACTAATGTAAAGCACTGGTAAAATGCCAGTTCTGTTGTCAGGTGGAGCAGTTTAATCCAAACTGTAAAGCAGGCCTGATACCACATTGCGTAGAGGTGATGCAAGATGTGGAAATTCATGTTTTAAACATATTTGGAAGAGATGCAATATGTGGGAATAGCCTCTTTGAAATAAATAGCTTTTCTTTGTAAAAGAAGCAAGTAAAAAATCAGAAGGGATCCTGATTCGAATCCCCGGTGTTAGGGTTAGGCCTTTCTGTGTGGAATTTGCTGCATGGGTTCTCTTCAGGCACTCTAGATTCCATCCACGGTGGGAAAACATGCATGTTTCAGTAATTCATCCATTCATCCATTGTCCACCACTTACTCAGGGTCGGGTTGTGGGGGGGAGCCTCCAAAGCAGGGAAACCCAGACTTCCCTCACCCCTGTCACTTCTGCCAGCTCCCTTTAAATTCCCACTAAGAATGTGTGTGTGGTTGTTTGTCTCTGTGTCACCCTGTCTGTACATGTACTGGCACCCTGTTCAAGATGTACCCTTCCGGTATAATAAGCAGTATGATATATAAATATGGGCCATTTTGATTTACCTGACACATACTTATGTTTTTGTTCCAGAATCTTAAATTACTGTATTTGAGTAACCTGGTTTGCTAATGGAAAATTAACTAGCAAAGAGTAAAAGAAACCTGGAGCTCATTGATTTTTATGTATTTTCCAAAGTGCAAACACTACTGTGTCTTAATTTGAATCAAAATGGATGCATAATTAATGGCAGGTTATTATGTTTGATCTCATGCAGATACACAAGTCACTGGACAGACAGTTGTGCCACCACAAGGGGTGGAGTTTGCTATGATAAGTATCCGCAAGGCAAGTGTGGTGCTGTTGTGTTGCAAAAAGACTGCGAAAGATACAAAAGTTAAAGACAAAAACAAATTTGAAAACATTCTAAAATATGAAAGTCTGATCTGTATAACAGCAAAGAAAAGTTGACCAATGCAATTCTTCGCTGGTGGCACTGCATTTATAGTGTGGATCCAACATGCCTCTCTGAAATAATGTGCTGATAAAGTCTCCACCGCCAGAGGAAGATTACATTGGTCAATATCTCAAACTTTAGAAATGCTGCAGAACTATGACATAATTTCAACATCCAGATGTCCCACACTTTGTGTGCATATTCCCACACATTTGTTCTTTTTTCACAGTTAAAAATGCCATCAGAATTGATCAGCTCCAGTATTCTTTTTATTCCACAGTAGGTCTTAAATACAAAGCATATATCAGCAGTTTTTGTTCGCTTTCCAGTCAAGACTCGAATTGAATGTAAGTCACTGCAAGTAAAAGGATGAATCAGCTGAGGTGTTAAATGTTAACGTCAGGCTACGCCTGTCCCAGGTCCGGGGGGGCCCAAAGTCCACTGTGAGCCTCCACCGACAGACTCCTCCTCAGAGAGGTAATCAACTCTACCTTTCTACAGGATCCACCTTCCTCTCTGCTGCGGTGCAAAGCCTAGCAGAGCTCCGGAAGACTCGACTCCTGCTGCCAGGCCTTGTGTGAAGGTACTTGTCAGTGTCTCCTTTTGTATCTTATTGTAGTATCTGTGCGGTCTGTGCTTTTAAAATGAGCAAAACCATGATGTACAATATGATAGTTTGTCAGTTTTATCATTTTGGAATCAGTTATCTCCTCATCAACAGTAATTTCTTCTCAGGCCTAAAATCAAGCCTATTTCCTGTTTTGTTGATCAATGTTCGTGTCCTTTTAAAAAGGCTGCTTATGTGCATGTGTGTTGGCGTTTCAGGAACGTTCAACAAAAGCTGCTATGGAGAACCATGTCACACAGATTGCCCGAGAGGACCTGGAAGAACTCAGGGAGGCTTTCAACAAAATTGGTTTGTTTCACCCCAGAAAACACACACATACACACGCACACACACACTTCTACCGGTTACTTGAAACCCCAGGTTTATTGATGAGGATCTGAATCAAAGTTGGACTTTTACTGACAGCCATAAAGTAAAACTCTCATGTGGCTGATTTCATAATACTTGGGTTGTTGAATTTATGTACTGTGTGTGAGGTGTGTTCAGCTGCGACAATGAAACATTTACAGGATTTATTAGTTAATATTCTCTGACTGTAATTACAAAATGTTGCTGATGATAATGAACTCCATAGATAAGGAATGCCACCTGGCCATAAAGTGTTTGAGGACACTCAAATCTGTGTTTCCACAACTGTGATGCCATACTTGCAAGAAGAGGAATATAGAATAGAATCTTGTTTACTTTAACCTCAACATGTACAGTATGATTTTATCAATATCAAAGTATGTGAAGGCTGAAGTATGTTATCTACCATCAGTACACATGTTGTGACATGATATCATGGTTTGGTGCTGACAGGGCAGTCAGCCTTAAGGATAATTTCTCAACATGTCAGTATTAATGATGTATATGTTGATGTGCATCCGTTTGTGTCCTGATTAAACCTTTTGTTAATGTTAAAGGATTTTGATAACTTCTATTTAGAACAATTTTCTGCTGTGAGCATAGTTTATATTTATTGTACTTTATCATAAACAAGCACATGAAATTAGTGTTGGATACATTTCCATTCACAACTGATAACAAGATACTGTGAGTCCAAAGTAAGCTCATCAGCATGATTGGAGAAAATATTAAAGGTCTTTATCGTGCTACATTGTAAGTATTTTTCTAGTGTTCATCAATGTAGCATTGTACCTTGCATGTTTTGACCTATTAAATTTATTTTTCAACCAGTGAGAAAAATAAGATGAGGAAAATACAAAGTTTACATTTGTGGTTTCATACTAAATTGATCCACTTTTTAAGTATATTGACTGTATTTGGCTTTGAATATTGTTATTGTTATTCTTGAACAAACATTTGTAAAGCAAACTGATTTACCTCTGAGTGTGTATGTTCTTTTCTATGTGTGTGTGTGTGCCCATCCAGACATTGACAAAAGCGGGTTTGTGAGTGACTTTGAACTTCAAGAGTTGTTCAGAGAGGCAAGCTTCTATCTGCCCGGATACCAAGTGCGAGAGATCATTGATACGTTCATCGCTGGAGATACGAATAAAGATGAGAAGATCAGCTTTGAGGAATTTGTCACTGTAAATCTCTCGACTCGTTAAACGTATGACATCGCCCCTCCGACAACATGTGGAGTAACGCTGTGTGTTTGTGGTCAGATATACCAACAGCTGAAGAGCAAGAAGTACAGTGAGACGTTCAGAAAATGCATCTCAAGGAAAGATGGGATCTACTCCTTTGGAGGCATGTCGGAAATCTCCAACCAGGGGACGCAGCACTCATACTCAGGTGAGAAAAAGGGTGTGCATTGCTTGTGTGCACATGTTTGTACTTCACAGGGACCATTTTAAGGGACTTATTCCCATTGAGGCAAAACCCCATTTTTTAAAATCATCGTTAAGATTAGAGTAAAGGGGGAAATAAAAGTGAATTTTGACTTCGCCCCTGTTAGCATCAGTTCAAAAGTCATTTCAGGGCATTTACGAGAAAGTCAACAACTTTGCAGAACAAACAGATGGATTCCAGTGCAGACATTTAAAAAAAAGTTTATTGAGTTTGACTTTGAATAAGAGACATGGAAATTGAAAAAATCTTGCTCATTTTAAGCAATTCCAAAAGTCCTCTTGGTGTCCATGAACATCAGATTCACGTACTGCAATATGAACTGATTAATCGTTTCTTTTAAAGTATGAATTTAGTCAAATAAAAAAATGCCCATAATAACATTTTCATCCCCAATCAAACAATATATGAGAATGCCTGTTGTGTTCAAGGTAGAATTAGTTCATTTTTGGGGTTACTGGTTGTGTTGTATCATCCTGTGAACGCTTTTACAGATGAGGAGAAAGTGGCTTTGGTTAACTGGATCAACAAGGCTTTGGCGAAAGATCCAGATTGTAAACATCTCCTGCCTTTGAACCCCAACGACGAGAGCCTCTTCACCTCTGTCCGAGACGGCATCTTGTTATGGTATCATAGAAACTCTCACTTACACACAAGTGCTTGTACAGACACATCCCAGCCTCCCATAATATATACATTCACGATCAATATAATCTAAAGGAGAAAGCTTTCTTGAATATCTCCTGAGGAACAACCGAGGTTTTATGGTGCAACAATTGTGAAAGCAGGAGCGCTGTGAACTTTTATACTGTTTCACCTTTAATCCAGGCTCTCGTTCATCACACGTGCTTCACTTTCGATGGACTTTTAAAGAGAGGCGCAGCACAGAGGGGAGGGAACATGGACTCAGTATTTCTTTCATGACCTCATATCTCCCACTTTATGCTCTTTGCTGTATTTCAGTAAAATGATCAACCTGTCTGAGCCTGACACGATTGACGAAAGAGTCATCAACAAAAACAGACCTACCACCTTCAAAATGACAGTAAGTAGAAAAGTTCATAAGCTAAGTGAAACCCATAACATATGTGCCATAAATGTTTGAATCCCTTGCATATACGCACAAATCAAAAAGAACAATGAGATGATTTTTCCTGCAAATGCCCTATTCTCTGTGCGACCTTTTGGAGAAAGTTGTTTATTTGGCCCATTCACTTTAATCCACATGCAGATATCATCTGAGACAGCAATAGGTTGTAAATGTGTAGACTTTAGATGAATCTGTTATACATTAACTTTTTACGGCATATTGCTTACTGTCCATATCGGACTTCTATCTTTTGTGATACATGATTGCCTTCTTTCTTGAAGAAAGGAAAAGCTGGGACAAGAAATCCGTTTTTGTCTTGGATATCTAATTAATGGAATTATAAATAAATTGGTCCACAGATCTCAGTTTCTGACACTTTTCTGTGGATGTAGCTACGATTGGTACCCTTCAGAAATTACATGTTGATGTCGTAATGTGTGCATTTGCAGGAAAATCTGGTCTTGGCCCTGAATTCAGCCTCAGCAATTGGCTGCACAGTGATTAGCATGGATGCTCATGATCTGATGGCCGGTAAACCTCATTTGGTCATGGGACTGCTCTGGCAGATCATCAAGGCTGGACTGTTTGCTGATATGAAACTCAGTAAGAACGAAGGTCAGTACACACATATTAACTTATTCTAGCTGAAGTGCAGAAAACCCTTTACATATTAATGCCATTATTATCATTTGTAAAAAAGAAAAAAAGAAAAAAACTAAAAGAGTAACCTGTTAGAGAGCTTCCAGCCATCTCTATCTGATTATTTCAGTTCTGATATTTAGGACAATAATGAGAAAGTTAGGACTTAACGATAAAGGGACTTCTTGCATATGGAGAAGACTAATTCCAGAAAAAAACTTTCGGAAGGTCGATTTCTGTGAAATAAAGAATGAAAGGAATGTCTCTTTCATCATGTAATATAGCCACTTTATTGCTTTATAACTTGAATTGATCTCTTTTTATCTCATCTCTTGCATAACTTGCCCTCAGCTGAAAGCAGCCTCTTTTTTTCCTTTTATATGATGTTGGCTTTTACTGTTAAAATGGTAACACAAACTACAGTGTGTAGAGATGCATTCCCCCCATATTTTCAGTATGGTTCTTCCCAGAAAACATCAAGCAGTTACTTTTAAAAATGGAATTTTGATTTTAGAAAACAAAAGTAGCTTGCTGTTTTGGCTGTTTTTAACCTCTATGCTCTAATACCTTTAAATAGTTAGCTGACTACAGTTCTTTGTGTTTCCAGATCTCATCTGGCTTCTGAGAGATGGAGAACAACTGGACCATCTATTGTCTCTCTCCCACGAGGAGTTGCTGCTCCGCTGGGTCAACTATCATCTAAGTAATGCAGGAACACAAACGATTAACAACTTCGGTGAAGATATAAAGGTGCAATATCAAACACAATTAGGCAAATACACACATGCCGTCATATATATCAATATAACTGTGGTTTGTTCTTTTGTCACTGAAGGACTCGCGGGCCTACTTCTATCTGCTGGACCAGATTGCTACCAATGAGGAGCAAAAATTCAAAATGCGTGTCCAAATCGACATGAACGGCCTCAATGTGAGTCACTTTGTTTTGTCGTCATCTATATGCTTAGAGATTTCTGCAAGAGCATTAATCTAAACATGCACTTGTGCCCGTTAATTATAAGGAGCGCAATTTGGAACGTAGGGCTGAACTGATGCTGCAGCAAGCCGCCAAGATGGACTGCAGGCAGTTTGTTACCCCTCATGACGTCACATCTGGAAACAGCAAACTCAACCTGGTCTTTGTTGCCAACCTGTTCAACATGCACGCTGGTCTGCAAAGGGGTAATGTGAGCAGAAACGACATTGAAAAGGCACAAATAAGAGGTGAGACAGACATGTCACTAATGTTTCATATATTTTTCAGGCACAATGAAACATTGTTTAGACAGGAAACGGCTGTCTTTCCCAGCACACATGCATTCACCATAATTTGCATGTGCTGGGAAACACTTTAATGCTGAAACCAGTGGAAGGAATAAGAAAATGAATGTTTTTGGGTGTGGCATGTTGACTATAGACTGAAGCTGAAATCAGCTGTGTGAGGATATGATAACATTTATGATGCCCTTATGTCTTGCCAGAGGAGACCAGGGAAGAGAAAATCTTTCGCAACTGGATGAACTCTCTCGGTGTTTCACCACATGTAAACCATCTTTACTGGTATGTCACCTGTTTGACATAAGTGTGAGTGGCCTTATCAGAGGAAGAGGAGGATACTTAACATTCCTACTGATAGCTAATTATATAGTCTAAAAGGGGACTCTAGAACTAGATAAGACATAGTGGGACATCTGGAAAATGTGTTTGCCGTCACCTATGCTTCATTAAAGACATTTTTTTCTACATTTTGCTTTAGTTTTACTTATGTCTCTCAATTATCTTATTATTCTAATTGTTTCTTAACTTGCTGTTTTTCTTTTTTTCTTTGTTATATTTTTTTCCTGTGTTCTCTAAATGTATTTTTTAGTGGTTCTCTTTACATGCAGGCAGTTCCATTCCTTATCAAGCGTTGCTTATTTTATTTTTTCCTGACATGCTTTTAGAGCTTCCTGTTGTGCTTTTTTAGTCCATAACGTTCATTATGTCTTTTTTCATCCTTTTGTTCAGGGATCTGTGTGATGGTCTGGTGATTCTGCAGCTTTTAGAAAAAGTCAGAGTGAATGTGAACTGGAAGAAAGTCAACAACCCACCTTATCCTTTGTTGGGGGGAAACATGAGGAAGGTGCTGGATGGAAAGACATGCAAAGATAAATGTTCTTTATTGCACAATAAGCATATTGGTTGAAATTTAAATACGTTATTTTCTTTCTGTTTGAATACATCCTAGCTGGAAAACTGCAACTATGCCGTGCATCTGAGCAGGGACGTGGCTCGTTTCTCTCTTGTTGGAGTTGGAGGAGAAAACATTAATGAAGGCAGTACCATACACACCCTGGCACTTGTCTGGCAGCTAATGAGGAGGTACCTGCAGTTGTGTCATTTATGTTGTTTATGATGTTTCACACAGTATAATGTTGGTTATCTGCTCTGTTTGTCCACTTTCAGATACACAGTTATGGTTTTGTCTGATCTTGGCGATGGAGAAAAGGTTAAGGATCAGATCATCCTGGACTGGGTCAACACCACTCTGAGCCAGAAACGAAAGGACACACAGATCAAGAGCTTTAAGGTATGTAAGTGACAACACACCATAACTGGGACAGCTTGATGCTGTATGTAAGATTTCCCCTGTTACAATGTTTTTACAGGACAATCTGATCAGCACCAGTCTGCCTGTGATTGATCTGATTGATGCCATCTCCCCGGGTACGGTCAAATGGGACATGGTGAAGAAAGCGGGGAAAGGAAGAATGTCTGATGAGGAAAAACTCGACAATGCCAAGTAAAAGAAAACTACGTTTTATGCATCTTTCAGCGCGTTCTTACATTGTGGCCTGACTTTCTCCATCTGTCTCACTCACAGGTATGCAATCTCACTGGCCCGCAAGATTGGAGCTCGGGTCTATGCTCTGCCAGATGATTTGGTGGAGGTAAAACCTAAGATGGTGCTAACACTGTTTGCCTCCCTCATGGGACATGGTTTGAAAAAAGCCAGACACTGAAAGAGATACTGTTGGGGGACAAGGACAAAAACTAAATGTGTCGGCTTTCCTTTTTCATCAGTGTAATCATTTTTTCTTTGACCAGGAGGAGTCAGCTAAAGATGGAAATCATTGCTCATTTACAGTCGTTTAATCTATGATTTTCTGGAACCTTATTTTCATTTGCTTTATATTTAACAATGCTCTGTAAGTTGAATTATTCACCCAGGTATCTTATAATAATATCCGTGAATGTTGTCCAGTGAATAAACCTATTCAATTTTTTAACCAAATTCATTAAATGTATGCAACAATTATGAATGTGTATGTTATTTTTTCACATAGCTTTTCAGATAATGGTCTATATAATTTTCGATATACAATAGAATTGGGACCATAGCTTTAAATATAAACCATCTGTCTTTTCTAGCTGTGCATAAAACATATCTGAAATTAGGTTACAATTTTCTTTGAAAAGACTAATTATTCTATCAATACAACTCAATATGCCTTTAGGGTAGTAGAAAGAAAAATGTATAATGCACATTTAATAACAGTGATATACAAAATAGTTTTACACACATATACTTACTTCAGGTCCCTCTACAACATATGTAATGGATTAAGTTCAGGACTTTGGGCTTTTAGAACAGCTATTCATTTAGCAACAGTTCACAACCTCTTACACTTGTAAGAGATACAATAACATTTGTTTTATCTACATTTTCATTAGAATTAAAATATGTTTCTGGTTCTCATTTAATCTTAAACCATCATAACCCTAATACAGCAACTATGACCATGATATTTTATAAACATATATGCTGAAACATAGTGCCTTCCCTTTAAACTGATTAAAAACCTCAGACTTTAATGCTCCTGTCTGAGAGTTGTTGCTTTCTGCTTACAAACCTTTGCATAACATTTAGTGTGGACTCGTGAACATCTAAATTGCATCGTGTTGAGAAGATTTGGGTTTTTTAGGAGTTATCCTGAACTCTGTTTTCGTTGCCAAGACAAATGGTCTGATGAGCATATGAAATATTCACATCACCACTATAAGAAGCAAACAGTGATTGTAATACCCCGCGCTTTGTATGTCTAGTGCCTCGTGGGTTGCCGTAGCAAAACAAACACGTCATTTTGGAGCGAAAGTTTCGGAATGAAAGCACATGCAGAAATGTTCTGCTTAGAATAACCCAACACACCTCGTTTATAACGTATTTAGAAAGTATTACACAGTAGAACAGCCCATCGTCGCAAAAATGGAGGGACTTGAAATGTCCGCAATGATACCGGCTCTGCAAGAGCTAGCTAGGTGAGTTCCGACCAAAGTTAGCTAAACTTTTTGACGTCAACAGCGTGTTACTGAGTCCTCAACTTTTATTGTACGCCGCTTATTGAAAATGATGTAAACAATGGCCCCATTGTATCCGGTGAGTAACTTTAACACCACCTCGGTGTCCGCAGTGCCAGTGCTGCTGAGTACGACCAGGCGGTGCAGAAGCCCCGACACATCCTCTGCCAGTTCATAGACAGGATTCTGACAGATGTGGATGTTGGTGAGTCCAAATCATCCCCACATACGCGAGGGGGCCACAGTGCCCTGTCGTCAGTGTGTTAGGAATATTTCCATTCTCTAAACGGCATGGTTGTCAACATGTCAACAAATGCTTAGCTGATTTGTTTATCTCAGATTTAATTGAAATGTCAAGTCATTAGAATGCAGATTTGTCTAACCGTTGCTAATTGTGTAAGTTACCCAGTGTGTTAAGGAAAAATGAGTGTTCTGCTCTTTCAGTTGCTCTCGGGCTAAGCAAGAAGTCCAGCTCCGAGCCGGCCTGTGTGATGCTGTTGGACTTTGTGCAGCACATCATCAAATCTTCCTCTTTAATTTTTGCCAACCCTGCCTGCCAACCAGCAGACTACCCGGACACCACGCAGAGCTGCACAGGTAAGAAATGCTGCTTAAAAAGCAGCGATTATTATATATTTTTTAAGCAGAAAGCATAGTCACGGGCCATTCTTCTGTCTCGGTTTCAGACTTCAGTAAGTGGGTGGCGGTGCGTTTGCTCCGAGTGGCAGCAGCTCCGGGCTGTGATGTCATTCACGGTCGCATCTCCGCTGTGCTGTGCTCTTTGCTTCACACGCTGAGAGTCAGAGCGCCTTCCATCTTCAGCTGCCTCACTCAGGAAATCATAACTCTGGCCCAAGACCTCAGCAACATCCTGTACGCGCACGTCACCACGGTGGCAGGGCCGGCTCACACTCTGGGCCTTCACCGGCAGAACCGGTGGCCCGAAACGCTGGAGTGCTTCACTTTCTCCCCCCTGCGTGCCTCGTCATACCTCATCCCGTCTCCTCTCGTGCTCTCCTCGCCAGCCGCCCTGGAGTCGCTGATCGCCGTGGCTCTCGGCGTGGTGACGGACTGTCTCCGGGGGGTCGTCTCCCGCCATGACCTGAGTGTGGCCTGGGAGACGGCGTGCGCCGTCATGGCCAACGGCAACACCAGGCTGAGGAAGCTCTCCATGGTGACGCTTCGAAAACTGGTGGAGCTCAGAGGTTTCCCCAAGATGCAGAGCCACGAATTCTTCACAGCCTTTTACCATCTGCTGGAAACCCACTCCTACACCGCGTCGGCTGTGGGAGAGCCCTACGAAGGGGAGCTGCTATACCTGTCCCGCTGCGTGTTTCAGTCCCCCCACGTTCTCCACTCTGACTTTGAGCCCGTGTATCTCTCCCAGATGTTTGAGTGCGTCTGTGCTCTTGGAAGTGCGAGCGTGAAGTTCGAAGCAGAATTTACAGCAACTCTCTGCCTGCTGTTCAGCTTCTCCCTGTCCATCGCTCCTGAAATCGAGAGCGCTGCTCTGCTTAGGAGGCAACGGGTCACAGAGGTCTGCAGGAGTCTGGCATGCACTGTCGGAACAGAAAATCAAGCCCAGGTAGGAATTTGTTGTCCCTCATAATATTCCCAACACCCTCCCGGCGTTCGTCACTTTATTTTCAACCTTTTTTATTTTTTTTCTTCAGTGTGCAGAGGGGTTTTTACAGGCTGCGCTTAAGGCTGAGACAGCTATGGTGATACAGAGGTCAGGGGATGGTGAGACTCCTTCCAAGAAATCCCGCAAACCTACCACCACTTCAGCCACCAAAACAACTAAAAGATCTGCAACGTGAGTCAATTTTGGCAGTCACTCATCAGGGGTTGAAAAATACAAGTCAGTGAACTACATATAGGTTTGAAAAACACAGGACGTATGAATTAATTATTGCCATAATTGTGCAGAATATGTGGAAAAACAGTAAAAATCAAGTGCAAAAAGTTGAAATGGGGCTGTAGTGAATATAAGTGCTTTAGAAATATGTGTAGAATCCTTTTAAAGTTGCAAAACTTAACAGTTTTTTTGTGTAATTTTTGTGACACTATTTCTGCTTTGATTATGTTCAAGAGCTTGTCTGGAAGATGTTTTTATTTTAGGAGGACTTGTGCGTTTTGCCAGCAGAGATCAGATTTACATTTTGTAGAAAGCTTGCAACGAACTGATCATGTGTCTCTCTGTGTGCGTCCTAAGTGAGGTGGACATGCGTGTGTGCAGTGAGGTTTGGGCCCTGCTGAGTGGTCAGCTGGAGCAGCTGCTGGGGCGTTTCAGCTCAAACCCTTCAGAGGACACACAGACCCTGTCCGCTCTCAGGGGTCTGGCCCTCATCCTTCATCTGGCGGCCCTCTGCTCCTCCCCAATCCAGTAAAGCCCCTTTTTTTAGTTGACAAATAAAGATCTTCTTTGCCACATCATTATTATATAATAATGATCTCTTTCGATTCTGTCACTCTGCCCCCTTTTGATACCTTTGCCAGTAGTCCGTGCCACATCCTTTGGTTTCCCACCGAGACTCTGGTCAACGTTTTGAAAAGCTGTCAGTGTGTGTTAGAAGCAGCCTCTGATCATGTGTCAAACCAGGACTACTTTCAATCTGCTCTCCACACTACAATCAGGGTTCTGGACTCTACTCTCTACCTGACATGTAAGCGGTACAGCTCCTATGTCTCCGGTTTACTTGACCGACTCAATTATTTTTGCCCATGTCATGACAAAAAAAAGCACACATATCTGAGCCAAAACAAAGTCATGTCACAGCTGTGTCCTTACAACCGTATGATCTTTTGTTTGTTTAGTCAGCAGGCAGGTTGAGCATGGTCTCCATCGATGCATATGTGATCTGCTGTCTCTTCCCTGGGTGTGTGAAAACAAATCGTCCGCAGCCTATAAGAGCACCGGATTCCCCCCCTCGCTGCCTTCCTTGGCTCAGAGGCTCACCTTCTGCTATTGTAAGTATTTCTGTTAATAAGTAACATTCAGAATCGTGGTTTTAATTCAATTTATTGATGGATTTTTTTTTTTCTCACTACAAAAACCTGTTACTTCTTACAGCAGCTGAGGTCCAAGCAGACTGCGTGACGCTGCTGGCCTTCCTGCCTGACGGCCTGTTCGAGGCGTGGCGCATGTGCGTGTTTGCCAAGGCTCTGCAGAGTCAGGAGGAGGCAGTGAGGGCCGCGGCCGTCAGGGCGCTGCCTTTTCTTCTTCACCACCTGGGAAAGTCGCACCACAACCTCCTGAGTACCACACTGCTGTGGGTGAACTCTGTCCTGACATTTACCGCTGCCATGTCACCGAAAGCGCTGCCTCATGACGGGATGTGCGCTGCCTCTGTTCAGTTCCAGGCTGGAGGACAGTTCGGAGCAGGTGAAGACGGAGCTGGCCAGGATCGTGGGACACCTGAGCTGCATCCAGTCGGAGCTCTCCAGGCTTTGCGACACCCAGATTCAAGCAGACTCCGCAGACCCTCCCAGAATCCTCTGCCTCCGCTGCAGCCTTACAACTGAGCATGCTGGGAAAGCAGCGCCGGGCCTCAGGGCATCTACTGTCAGACCCTTTCTTCCTTTACTCGGACCTCAAGCCGCGAGTAAAGTCAAACAAGGTTTGTTTTCTCTCTTGTTTTGGGCCTTTTCCTACGACACCTTTTAAAGTTTAAGAGCACAGTCGTCTTTATCAGTCTGTTCATTCACTGTCCCAGCATTCCTGGAAGCTCTACCTCACCTCTGCCAGCATGTGGATCTGACTGGTGGAGACACGGACTCCCGGGCAGTTCTCTGCGCACTGATAGTTCTGATGGAGGACGCAGATCCCGAGGTCAGAATGCGCTTCGGCCAGTCGGTGCGTTTTCTGCTGACCGAGAGCCAAAAACACTCTGAACAGGACACTCTTAATGAGGTAAGAAATACCAGTTGGTTAGGGGTTTGTGAGCTGTTCAAACACTAGCTTTTTTTAAACACTTGCTTTTTTTCTGTCTATTGGGTTTTTCTTCTACTTCAGCTCCTGGTTGCACGTCTTAAGGAAGCATTCCACAATGCTAAAGTCAGCAGAGATGACAACCTGCGCAACACTCTCATCCTCACCACGGGGGAGATCAGCAGGTGTAAATCGCCTTTGTCCAAACACTGTATTAATTTCTAGGATACATTTCTAATAACTTTGTTTTTATAACAGGGAAATAAGAACTAAAATGTTTAGTCGGATTAATCTCACAGTCATCGAAAAGTTAATGTTAAGTTAAAGTTCACTCTGGTTAGATTCTAATCCATCAACCTCTCCTCTTCTGTCAGAGCCTCTCAGGGGAGTTTGGTGTCATTTGCTCTACTGCGTCTGCTCCACTGTCTGCTGTCGAAGTCCTCCCTGGTGTCTGTGGCTGCCTACACACAGATCAGAGCTTTGGCTGGTGCCAAAGGCTTAAAACTGCAAACTCTCTTCAGTCTGTACAAAAATCCCATTTGCCAGGTATGAAAGCACGTCCTGCCAAAGTGGCTCTGATTAGATAAGACTGTAGACCCACTCACATTGAGCTCAGTCTTTTTAAGGAGGTGATACATTTTTAGAAAGCATAATAACTATTGTTGGGTGTTACATGGTATAAACGGTTTAAATCTGTATTTTTATTGAAAAGTGCTTTTTTCTAAAAAATATCAGTAAGTTTAAAGATCTTCAACCCAGATACCGTTAACGTCTGATTTAGATGCTTGTTGTTTTGGAAGATACTCAATACTTTTTAACTGCTGATCTTTACTTTGTTTTGTGTATTTAGTTCCTGGTGGAATCACTTCATTCACGTCATGCATCCGCCCTGCGGAGCACTCCTGATCAGGGCAGCGAATCGACCAATCAGAGAGAGCTGGCTCTGGACATCCTGGCTCAGATTGCACATGCTTTTGACTTCCCAGACCTTCACCGCTTTCTCACTGTAAGCCCAGCCACCCGAGCAGCCACTGCCACAGACCCAGCATGCGTTGTTGATAGTAGATTTGTTTATTATCAACATGTTGTACGTTGAGGCTGTGTTTGTGTACATATTTGTATGTTTTATGGGCATTTGGCTTTGCTTGCTTGTGTATTTCATAAAGCGGACACTTCAGGTGCTGCTGCCCTATCTGGCAGCTAAAGCGAGCTCTACAGGCTCCGCCCTCATCCGCACTCTGGCCATTGAACTGAAGGCAAACAGGAGGGAGATTCTCATCAACAACTTCAAGTATATCTTCAGCCATCTGATCTGCTCCTGCACTAAAGAGGAGCTGGAGCGAGCTTTTCACTACCTACAGGTCTTAAATAACCTTAACTGTGATCTGAAAACAAGACTTGTTAGGACTTAAAAGTTTCCCCATATCAACATGCTGAACACCCAGACTGATATGTGCTTCTCTCCCACGCTGTCCTAGAGTGAAACTGAGATCGAGTTGGGCTCTCTGCTCCGGCAGGACTTCCAGGGCCTTCACAACGAGCTGCTGCTGCGTTTAGGAGAACATTACCAACAGGTCAGCAAGCACCTTGCTTACATGTTAAATAATCTGAAGTCTTTTAAAAAATATTTTGTTATTAAACACTTAGGTTTCGTGAAGGATCTCATATTTGGTTTTAATTTATCATTCATGTGTTTTTTTTTATTTATTTCTTTCGTAGGTGTTTAATGGTTTAGCGATCTTGGCCTCTTTTGCATCCAACGACGATCCATACCAGGGTCCTCGAGACATCACCACCTCAGAACACATGGTACATTTTCTGTTTTGTTTTATTGTAGCCTCTAACCTTTTTATTAGTTCATATTTGGCTCTTCATCAATGCAAAAAGACCAGCAGATTAATTGATCTGCCGTTCAACAGATTAAACCTCACATATGGAACTGGAATCTTTGATAAATCTCATTCTTTTTGCAACTTATTAGCATCACTGATAGAAATAGATGAATACATTCCACATTTAGTGACTGCTTTTTCTCTGGCTTGTCTTTGTGCCATCATTGTGTTCCAGGCTGACTACCTGCAGCCGAAGCTGCTCGGGATTCTCGCCTTTTTCAACATGCAGCTGCTCAGCTCCAGTGCAGGAGAGAAGGACCGCAAGAAGCTGGCGAGTCACCTTCTACTGACAAATTTCTTCGCCCCATTAAATAATTCTTTTTAGGTGGCAGTTTGTCCATCTGCTGCAGTTCCGTGCAGCTTTTACAGCTAGATGAAAGAGTCTCCCTCTGTTTTCTGCGCAGGCCTTGACGAGTGTTATGGCACTGATGCGGCTGATGGGTTCCAAACACATCAGCTCTGTCCGAGTGAAGATGATGACGACGCTGCGCACCGGGCTCCGTTACAGAGAGGATTTCCCTCTGCTTTGCTGCCAGTGAGTAAATGCATAATCACACCCATATTAAAAAAACCTCCAGTCATTCATGTGTTTCTAACGATTATTTTAGTTTGCTCCAAGCAAATCATTGTTTGTATTCCCTGTTGAAGAACGTGGGAGTGTTTTGTGAGAAGCGTGGAGCCTTCACACCTCGGACCTCTGTTGAGTCATGTTATCGTCGCCCTGCTCCCCCTGATCCCACTACAGCCCAAAGAAACGGCCGCTATCATCCGCTACCTCATCCTGGACAACAGGTGGGAGTTCAAGAAGACAAATTAACATTTCAACATGAAAACTAAATGAATGGGTACTCATCTTGTTTAGGTCCAGTTACTGATTATAAAACTGACATCAGGCCTTGCTGAGATTCCTCTTATCTTATCAATCTGCACAGGGAGGAAGTTAATGACTATCTTCATGAGATTTACTTTCTACCAGAGCACCCAGAGCTGAAAGACATCCACACGGTTCTGCAAAATTACAAAAAGGTCAGTAAGAGGTTAAAAATGATAATGATGAAGGTACTGTGGGATTGTGCTTTTTTTACATTTAAAAAATGTTGTGTTTCTTTTTTCCTTTCAGCTGACAGCCAGCAGCAGTGATTCAGCTGCTGCGCTGCAGCTCTCTATGAGAGCGGTCCAGCATGAGAACGTTGACGTAAGAATCCACGCACTGACCAGCCTCAGGGACATGATGCACAGCAACCAGGTACACAAACATCAAGGACTATCATGACGCCTACCTTAGCATGGATAAAAGCATACGAAAAAGATCACGGTTCAGTTAGCCAGCCAGCTCTGACGCACAGCCACACCACGGCTGCTATCTTAGACACTCTAAACTGCCATATGCCATCTAATAGATCCTTTTTCATGTGCTTTGGGGGCTACAGGAGTGGATGCTGCAGCAGGTTTGTGCCAGTGAGGCAGTGGAACCGGTCATTTCCAACCTGGTGTCCGTGCTGCTGAAGGGCTGTCAGGACTCGTCCCCCGAGGCCCGGCTCCTCTGTGGGGAATGTCTCGGCGAGCTGGGGGCCGTAGATCCTGGGCGTCTCGACTTGTCGCACACACTCACCCACGGTGACCGCAACACCTTCGTGGTAAGCAACGCAGGAGGAAGGACTGAAGTCCGTCAACATGTATGTGTGGTGTTTACTTATCACAAAAGCACCAAGCGTCGCAACAAAAAAGAAGGTGTTGGAGTTTATGTTTTCAGGAAGACAGATGTGACTGTGTGCCACAGTAGGCCTCCACATGTTAGATACTCACCACGAAACACGTTTGGTACACCAGGTACCTCGAATGAATAATGAAGCTGAATCGTTTCCCTCTTTTGTAAGTCGAATAAAATTGTTGTGTGATAAACTATTAAAGATAAGCACATTTTAAAAAACCTGCTCTCTACCTAAGCAAGCTCACATTGTATATATGTACCACATTAATCTGGCAAAGAGTAATCCAAACCTAAGTAAACTGTAGTTTTTTTCTCGGTAACAGAGTGGGGTTGATGATCCTAACTTTGCCCACGATTTGCTGACTGAGTTGACCAGAACATTCCTGGCTTATGCTGATGATGTGCGAGCCCAGGACTCCTCTGCATATGCAATTCAGGTACGCACGTCACGTAGCTTTATTTTCAGTATTTATATTTTCTTATCTTTTGTGTGACATGTGTGGTGGGGGTGTATTCATATGCGCTGCAGGAACTGCTGTCCATATTTGAGTGTCGCGAGGGAAGGAACGACTCCCCGGGCCGTCGTCTGTGGAGGCGATTTCCAGAGCAGATCCAAGAAATCCTCGAGCCTCACCTCAACAGCAGGTATAAGCTTGCACCTCTGAAGACCTGCGCAGACTGCACAATTCCTCTCCCGTCTTATGATTCATACCATACCTCCTCACACTGATTCTTAACGCAGATATAAAAGCAGCCAGAAGGAGGTGAACTGGTCGAAATTAAAGAAGCCGGTGTACCTGAGCAAGAGAGGCAGCAAATTTTCTGACTGGTCAGCCACCTGGGCGGGATACCTGATCAGCAAGGTTGGCTGATCTCTTAAAGAGTCGAGTAGTAGAACTTCCCTATGCAACAATTCAACACGTGCATATCTGTTCACCAGGTGAGGCATGAGCTGGCCAGCAAGGTGTTCAGGTGCTGTAGCTTCATCATCAAACACGACTACAAGGTCACCATCTACCTGCTGCCACACATCCTGCTGTACATGCTGCTGGGCTGCACGCCATCAGAGCAGCAGGAGGTGGGGATCTGTCTCAGTAGCTCACTCTGAGTTATTGCAAGTGTATATTGGTTTGTTTTGTTTATTTCATTTAGTCCCATTTTGTTGCTGTTGTTTTTTAAGGTGACAGAGGAGATGCTGGCAGTGCTGACAGAGGGTGATGGGCGAGGAGGCGGGAGCATCCAGGAGGCTGCCTCCAGCCTGTCCCAGCTCAGCACTCAGACTGTGTTCAGCATGCTTTCACACCTCACACAGTGGAGCCGCCACATCCTCTCCTCCAAACCCAGAGTCAACGGTCGGTATAGGCACTAACCTTTACATTCGTAGTTTCAGCAGTGATTTGAAAAGGAGGTTTAACTCCAATTTATCAGCAAAAAGACTTTAGCGAACACTAAAGGTTAAGCAACTTGAATATCTTTAGTCAGCAGAATTTCTACTCAGATTACGGCAACATTTAAGACATTGAGAATGGATTTGATGATTGTGTTTACAGTGATACATGAATGATTCCTGCTAATTAACTTCCTTCTGCCTTGCAGAAAGTGGGGATTATCAACGTGTGGTGGCCTTCCTGAAGGATATACCGCAGGACGTTCTGGCTAAAGCCTCTTTGCGATCCAAAGCCTACACCCGGGCCCTCATGCACTTTGAGGCCTACATCCTAGAAAATAAGGAGAACATCCTGGACCATCTCACCTTCCTGCAGGTCAGACTGACTATGGGATATGGCTCATTCTGGTGGACAAAGTCAAAATTACGACATGGGATAAGATGCGTATTTGAAATTTGATGTATTTTTGTTTTTTGTAGACGCTCTATGCTGCAATGCACGAGCCTGATGGAGTGAGGGGGGTCAATGCCCTGAGGAGGGAGGAGCCATCTCTAGGGGAACAGATACTTGAGCACGAGAGCATCGGCCTGCTCAGGGATGCTACTGCCTGCTACGACAGGGCCATACAGCTGGAGTCAGACCAGGTATGTGAAGACATACACTTGCATTCTTGTATTTCCCACAATCTCACAGCTCTGCTTTTTGTTGCCTTTTATATTGTAATTCCTCAAATCTAACAGTTTGAGTATTTCAAAATTATTTTGCAGATCGGTCACTATCATGGAGTGATGACTTCTATGCTGGGCCTGGGACAGCTGTCCACGGTCATCACGCAGGTTAACGGGGTACTGGCCAACAAGTAAGGCACACACTCTGAGACACGTGTGTTTTCAGCTCAAGGTTAGCTTTTAGGTGAAGCCCTATTTTTAAACGTCTTTAGGCACCAGTGGAAGTCAGAGCTGAATAGGTACAGAGTCGAGGCGGCCTGGAAGCTCGGAAAGTGGGATCTGCTGGAAGATTATTTAAGTTCAGGTAATTGAAAACAAAAGCGCCTCTTAGAAGTTGCCTATTTAAGCTAACTCACCAGCCATCCTAAAACACAACTAATTGGGAACGTTTTTGTGTCTGTAGACCAGCAGTCGAGCACCTGGGGCGTGCGGCTGGGCCAGCTGCTGCTGTCTGCCAAGAAGCAGGATGCTGCCGCTTTCTACGAGAAGCTGAAGCTGGTGAGGAAGGAGCAGGTGGTCCCCCTGTCTGCTGCCAGCTATGAGTGTGGAACCTACCAGAGAGGATACGAGTATATCGTCAGGTCTGTGGTCTGAACCGGCCTCTCTTTTCCTTCTTTGCTTTTTTTGAATGGCAGTAGCTCGTGATTGTAAAAGTCAAAAATCCCTGTGTTTAGGCTGCACATGCTCAGCGAGATGGAGCACTCGTTCACCGAGCTGCAGAAACTCAGAGACAGTCCTGCCTCCACCGCCAGCCAGCTGCCTCCTCATTGGTCGGAAAGACTGGAAATGACACAGAATTCCTTTAGGGCCAAAGAGCCAATCCTGGCACTGCGTCGGGCCCTGCTCAACCAGGGACCACAGTAAGAATGAAGAAACATCTGCAGACACACAAACACACTCATTCACCGTTACTGATATATCTATCAGCATTATGTTGATGTTATAGAATAGGAACATTTGTGTTCTAGTTGATGCACTATTTCCAGAACCAAACAGCACTTGTTTTTGTTTAACTTGAACTTGTGTGGTTAGTAATGGTTGTGCTCATGCTCTGCAGGTTTGGATGTCAGGAGCTGGTAGGAGAGTGCTGGCTACAGAGCGCCCGAGTGGCCAGAAAGGCAGGACACCATCAAACGGCCTTCAATGCTCTTCTGAATGCTGATAACACACATCTGGCTGAGCTGGTCACAGAGAAGGCCAAGTGGCTGTGGTCTAAGGTATAGCCAACCTGTAAATGAAACTAATGCACAGCCTGAGGCAGATCAAACTAAAAAGATGCATGTAGCATGCTCATCCCTTGAGTGCTGATTTGCCTCTTGTGTGTAATAGTAGTTGTTACTTAAACACATCTGTCATTAACCACTGCTCATGTGGTTACTGTGTCAGCGTGCACAATCCGAGCAAAAAATAACAAACTTTTCAACGCTTGCCTCTGATCAGGGCGATGTCCACCAGGCCCTGATTGTCCTGCAGAAGGGCGTAGCCCAGTGTTTCCCTGAACATGCCCCCCTGAGGGACCCGCGCAAACTGCAGACTAAAGGCAAAGCCATGCTGCTGGTGGGCCGCTTCATGGAAGAGACAGCCAACTTCGAGTCCAATGCCATCATGAAGGCATACAAGGTATCAGCCGTCATGTTTAATATGTTCAGCAGGTTTGTTCATTAATATTAACACTTGTACCAATCAGACGTATAGTTTACTCTGTAGTAAACCCTGAGGTTGTGTTTGAAATTTTATGCAAATTCTATAAGGGCACTGTTTAGGACTTCCTCCAAAATACTGGCGTCTTTGCACCTCCTTTTAAAGGGCGTTAATTAATTTCTACAGGATGTGACCAACCTGCTGCCAGAGTGGGAGGATGGAAATTTCTACCTCGCCAAATACTACGACAAAGTGATGCCGATGGTGACTGACAACAAGCTGGAGAAACAGGGAAACCTCATCCGTTACATCGTCACATACTTCGGAAAGTGAGTTGTTCCCTGTCCTGATTAAAACCCCTTTTTCCAGGGTTCAGTGCTTGAGAAATGCCTTTCAAAGTCATTCTTTAGTTTTCTCATCAAGATTATGTCTGCTCTATTAATCCCACGCAGGGCCCTGCAGTTCGGAAACCAGTACATCTACCAGGCCATGCCTCGTATGCTGTCGCTCTGGTTGGATTTTGGAGCAAAAGTGTGTGAATATGAAAAAGGTGGGTTGCAAGAGGGCCTGGATGCCTCTCGGATGCCGTGTCTATTTGGGTGACTGATGTCACATAAAATCCTCTGTGCGTATACGCTCCGGTTTCCCAGCTGGCCGAGCAGACAGACAGATGCGGCAGGAGCTGAGTAAAATCAACGCGGTGGTCAACGAGTACTGTGGCAGTTTGGCGCCGTACCAGTTCCTCACCGCCTTCTCCCAGCTCATCTCCCGGGTGTGTCACTCCAGTGATGACGTCTTCACCGTTCTGATGAACATCGTGGCTAAAGTGTTTCTTGCATACCCACAACAGGCCATGTGGCTGATGACTGCTGTCTCTAAGGTGGGTGTGTTAAAAGAGATTTGGAATATTTTTTTCCTCTGTCGAAATGACAAAAACGTCCCTTTTAGAACCATTAGATGACCATGTGTCGCAATCCGAACAGATGCAAAATGATTCAATCACTGTGGTGGATAAACAATATCCCGTCTGCACTCTCTGCATTTCCCTTTCAGTCATCTTACCCCATGCGCATGAACCGCTGTAATCAGATCCTTAAGAAAGCCATCAGCCTTAAACATTCTCTGGAGAAATTTATTGGAGATGCCAACAGACTGACCGACAAGCTGCTGGAGCTCTGCAACAAGCCGGTATGTACACAAACACACAAAAACACACACACACTGAAGCTATTTCTAATTCTGAATCTGTACAAGAAAGGATACAAAAGGATTATTGCATACACACAAAACAAACATTTCAAACGATGAAAGCATTTTTACTAAAAAATACTATATATTACTATTTCAGAATTACTTGCAGTGTGTAGCCAAACATATAAATAACATTTTTTATGTATTAAAAAAAAGACTAATATTACTATTACTATTTACTCCCCCATTAGGAAACTAATGGAGGAGAAGATAAAAGCTTCATATCAAAGTGTATAGTATAAGTAGACCAGAATTGTCTCTGGTGGTGTCTCACAGGTGGACGGAAACAGCTCCACCCTCAGCATGAGCGTGCACTTCAAGCAGCTGAAGCGTCTGGTGGAGGAGCCCACCTTCAGCCAGATCCTGATCCCGCTGCAGTCCGTCCTCATCCCCACGCTGCCCTCCACCAGCGGGGCCCACACCAAGCACGACGCCTTCCCAGGACACTGGGCTTACCTGGATGGCTTCGATGACATTGTGAGTGAGAAGGAGGCGTCTTGAGTAATGGGAGTTTAACTCACCCGGTGTTTCACCAGGAAATGGTAACCGAAAAGTATTATGAAAATAGAAGATTCCTGTTTATGTATATATATGTTTGTGTTTGCATAGGTGGAGATTTTGGCATCCTTACAGAAGCCAAAGAAGATAAGTCTGAAGGGTTCAGATGGCCGGAGCTACACCATGATGTGTAAACCTAAGGATGATCTGAGGAAAGACTGCAGGCTCATGGAGTTTAACTGCCTTATCAACAAGGTGCATTATTTGACTCAAATGTCAAATGAACACACACAGCATCATTGATTTACTTCAAAAGTACAACATGACACTACTGATGTATTAAGAGGCCTTAATCTGTCCTCCTTATCTCTGTAAGGAATTTCATCAACATTTATCTTAGGTTTTAGAAGTAGAACATTTTGAAACCATAAAGATTTAGTTTAGTATTTTTAAAACGTTTTTGTTAAAATTCTCTCAAGAGGGCATGAAAAGAGCAGCCTTAAAAGTTGGCCGGAATGCTTTGTGTGTGTGTGTCTAGTGCCTACGTAAAGATGCCGAGTCGAGACGGAGGGAGCTCCACATCCGCACCTATGCGGTGATTCCCCTCAACGAAGAGTGCGGCATCATCGAATGGGTCAGCAACACCGCTGGACTGCGACACATTCTCACCAAGCTGTACAAAGAGAGAGGTTCGCTCGTATGTCAAGACTATGAATAGAAGCCATGAGATGTCGATTGTCACGAAATGACCTCATGGTTTTTTGTTTGTCTCAAAGGTGTCTACCTATCAGGTAAGGAGCTGAGAAAGCTCATTTTACCAAAATCGGCTCCATTTGAGGAAAAGCTGCGGATCCACAAGGAGGTCCTTTGTGCGCGACATCCCCCCGTTTTCCATGAGTGGTTCCTGCGGACGTTCCCTGACCCGACATCCTGGTATGCTACAGTTCTCCAAGTCACAGCAGTCACCTACAAGCAACTCCATGAATCTGATTTGAATGTGTATGTGGCGCTAACGTTTGCAGGTACAGCAGTCGCTCAGCATACTGCCGCTCCACTGCTGTGATGTCCATGGTCGGCTACATCCTCGGCCTGGGAGATCGCCACGGAGAAAACATCCTCTTTGACTCGTTCACGGGGGAATGTGTTCACGTTGACTTCAACTGCCTCTTCAATAAGGTTCAAGTTTGTTCCAACTTATTTTTAGATGTGGAATAAATATTGTTTAACCTAAAATCCTAAATATTCCTCCCCTCCCCCATCTCCTGTGCTTCTCCTTCTCTCTCCACAAGGGGGAAACATTTGATGTCCCTGAGGTGGTTCCTTTCCGCCTGACCCAAAACATGGTCCATGCAATGGGGCCCATGGGCACTGAAGGCCTTTTTCGACAAGCCTGTGAGGTCACACTGAGACTAATGAGGGACCAAAGAGAGCCGCTCATGAGGTAGATTCGAAAATTATAGTATAAATATTCCATAGCAATTTTCAAAACATTTTTAGACTTGTACCTATTTAGAAGAACAAGTCCATGGCTGTATCTGAAAAGGAATTATTTTTAATATTTAGGTCGCAATGTCCACAAGACTGTATACATTTATTTTCTGTCTTTTTATACAGTGATTTCTCATTTTCTGTTTTTTATTTACCCTAAAAGTGTACTCAAAACCTTCCTTCATGACCCTCTGGTGGAGTGGAGCAAACAAGGCAAAGGACTAAAGGCCCAGGCTAATGAGACGGGGGAGATAGTTAATGAGAAGGTATGCATCCTTTTTTTTATCAACTCAGAAGCCAAAATGTGGCAGAACATATGTTTGATTTAACCCATAGAGCTATTTTTTATTAATTGATTCATTCATTTACCTGTCCCTCATGTTTTTACATCCCTCTCTTCTAGGCTAAAACGCACGTGTGTGACATCGAGCAGCGTCTGCAGGGTGTGATAAAAAGCAGAAACAAAGTGCTCGGTCTACCTCTGTCAATAGAGGGACATGTGCACTACCTCATCCAAGAAGCCACAGATGACAAACTCCTCTGTCAAATGTATTTGGGCTGGGGCCCATACCTTTAGAGACCCCTGTTCATTTTTGACTGTTAGTTGAAAAAACAAATCCTTGATATTCAATGTTCATTCTGAAGTTTCCATTAATGTTATTGAAGTTTCCTGTTTTTTTGGAAATTGTTGATTGATGCTTTTCTGGCACGTTCCGTTCGAATAAAGGAAGTGTTTGTTGGTAAATGTGCTTAAGCGTCTTTTAATCTCTTAACCCTTCTTAGATCGACAAAAGTAGGCGGCTGTCAGCGGATTGATTTAATCTCTCGTCTCTCCCTATGCTCCTCTCCCACTCACACTCAACTGTCCACTCAGCTCACCTTTTTTCTCCTAGTGTTTCTTTAGGGAAGCCGAGAGCACTGACTGAAGAAAACAAAAGTTGGTGGCATGCAGTACCTTCTTTAAGAGAGGAATATTTTTGTCGTGTCATCATGGCTTCAAGTATTCAGAGCATCACAGTATTTTTTATTATTACTTTTCTTATTTTTGTCAATGCATGGCTGCTTTTTCAACTCAGTTCAGGATAGCCTTCGACATTTCTTCCAACCCTAGAAAAGCTGTTGAGGTCAACATTGACTGGACATTTTTTTGTGGTGGTTTTTGGAGGATGCAGATCGGAGACTTAAAACCCTTTCTTTTCGCCATAATATGAGTATAAAAGAACTACTGTTGAATCGTAATAATCTCATAAAACGTTTGCATTTTTAACTGTAATGTGCAGCTTGTGGCGTGGCTCTGTAGAGGTCAGGCTTTTATCCTGAAAGGTCTGAACCGGAATTTAAAGTTAATCTGGTGTGTCGAGAGATTTTGATTTATTTTTTTTATTTTTTTAGATTTTGGGGAATTTCATGTTCATTAAATGCATATTCTATCCGTCGTCCCTCGGCAGGAATTTAAAAAAAATTAACTGGAAATTAAAGTCTGGCTAAATAAAGCGACAAGTGGTGGTCAGCCCTGACCGACCCTCGTTCATTAACCCAACGGGGGCAAACCAACGGGGCACGGAACGGGTGCGGTGACCAGCGGTTAACCCCTCCGGGCAGCGGAGGAAAGCACCATGACCGGAGGATGATTGAGTGAGCACCGCAGACAGGCGCTCGCTGCACCTGCATCTTCCTCATGAACACGCCGGGCTTAAACGTTCCTAAGTGGAGGCTATGCCTTGGTCACCTGCTCGTTGTAATTAGTCAGTTAGTTGGGTTTAGCCTGTCTTGCTAGGTCCCGCGCGACCGTTAACGGTCGGCTGGTTTAAAGGAGGCAGCGCGCGACCTTCAGGACGCAATTATGGATTTGACACGGCTGGCTGTGGATGCTGGGCAGTTCATCAACCGCGCTGTTCAGGTAGAATGGTTTTCTTTCCTTTCTTTTTTTTTTAAATTAGCTAACGCCGTGTTTTCAGGCAAACAATAAGAAGCTAGGACTAAAAATAACCTGTTTTCCCCCCAGTGTTTTTTTAAGTGATTCTGTGACATTTTGCCCCAGTACACAGAGGAAAGTCTTGGCCAGGCCGAGCGGACAGAGTTGGACCCGCAGCTGGAGGAGCTCCTGGCACGGGCAGACAGCACCAAGACCTGGACGGACCAGATCATATCCCAAACCGAGGTTTTACTACAGCCCAGTCCAGGTGACACCAAATGTTATTATTTCTGTTCACCTACCAGACATAAGGAACGTAGGTGAACACACAGGAAAAAATACCCCGTCCATGAAAAATAGATCAACTTAGTCATTTTATCCGATATAGATGAGTCATTTCAAATTTATTTCAGTGCTTATTAATGTCACAGTCCTGTATAGGCTTAATTTGAAGTTATTTCCATCCAAACTGCAAGTAATGGCCCACTAATTTCAATAGTTTATAATGTAAAATCATTCTTCTTAAAGGCTAAAATGTAATTAGACAATGGCCTGCCTCTGTTCTACGTAAACCCAGTCTAGGGTTGTGGATCTTCATACCTTTATCTCTGGGGCCCATTTTTTCAACTTAATGTTTTTGCATGTTCACACAGACGCCATATATATATTTTGTATGTTTGCTTTGGCGTTAATTAGCATGTTCAGATGTAAAAAGACTACTATACATGTGAGCTCAGCTCAGTTGTTAGAAGCATTGAGGATATTCCAGATCATATCTTGCCTTCTTCCAGAACTTAAAATGATTTCTTTGTAAAAGGAAAAAAAAGCCCACTTTCATCATTATATCTATTAGAATGATGTGTCCTTTCCTCAACAACCTCTTCTAAGCTATATAGGGTAAATTAACACATTTTCAGGACTTTTTTAGAGATAGCCCCTGACCACCTCTGTGACCCTGTGACCCCGATTAACAGGAGCTCGGTTGGAGGACCGGCTGTATGAACATCTGGAGTGGAGCGCGCCACCTAGGCCGCGTGCACAAGAGGTACTGGGAGATCAGATGACACAGGCCGGGCTGGAGATTGGTTCTAAGACCCCATATGGTGAGTGTGTGGCAATGGGCTCTCATACATATTCATTTATTTAACTTTAACTTAATGTTTGAATTGATATCCACACGGTCGTGTTGGGATGGTTGCTCTCTCAAGTAATCAGGATGAAATAGTGTTTTTGTATTTAGTTGTTTTTATGATATTTGTGCTCAGGAACAGCACTGATCAAGTGTGGAGAGGCCCAGAAGCAGCTAGGAGAGGCTGAGAGGAAGTTTGTCCAAAGCGCCACCATTCACTTTCTCACTCCTCTGCGAAGTTTTACGGAAGGTGAATTCACAGCCATCCAGGTGAAACGCACGTCTGTGTTACTCCTTCACTCATCACCCCCCTTTTGCTCCTCAGTTTGGCCTTACTCGTGCAAAGTCAGGGTTGTAAACACGTCTTTTTGCTCACAGAATGAGCGTAAGATGTTGGTGAACAAGCGTTTGGACATGGATGTAGCCAAGAGCAGGCTGAGGAAAGCCCACGAGGCCGACAGAGAGGCCAGGGTAAGGGGCAGCACATTGCTACTGTCTCTTGTCAGAATCTCCTAAATGTCACCACATGCTGAGCATTCCCCTCCCACTTGCCTCCTCTCTCATGTCATTTTGTCAGAACTTGAATGCAAATCCACTGGATGAGGACTACTTGTCTCATGTCTCCTACATGTTCAGTTTCCTGCGTGTGAAATGGCTCAAGGTCAGTGCTGCCTTGAAGGAAAATGGATGAATTTACTGTTGGATTCTGTGTAATCTTGACATGTCTAATTTCTTCCCAACAGATGTGGGCTCAAGAAATCGCTCAGGTAACCACGTTGACCTTTATAGAGAGAAAGCAGCACACCTAAGGCATGGATTAATGTTGTACATTAATGGTGTGTGTGTGTGTGTGTGTGTAGGCAGAGATGGAGCTGAGGATCTGTCAGAGCCTTTTTGATCGGCAATCTGAAATTACTCGACGAATCGTGGAAGGAATCAGCAGTACTCACGTAAGTTGTCACATTGAGCTCCCACACGCAAAGCATAAATAATTCCTGTTAATTTAGTTTGTTTCAGAGTCAAAAGATGACTTTTTTTTTTCCTTTTTTTATCCTACCCCAGATCAACCACATGCGAAGCCTCACTGACTTTGTGGAGGCTCAAGCCTCTTATTTTGCACAGTGCAAACAACAAGCTCAGGAACTTGAAAGGCAGCTTTCCAGGTCTGTAGGAGCTCTTCCCACGAAAAGATTTCTTAAAACTAAACGATTTAATTGATTAGTGTTCGTCACTATTGATACTTGTTCATTCTTTAGTTGTTTGCCATTTATTTTTCCACAAAGCCAGCCATTGTTTGACAAATCTGATGACTGTAGCGTGTTAATCAATGAACCATAATTAAAATGCGCTCTGATTCAAATGAAAATCAAAAGCAGAATGTATTTACAGTTAGTGTAAGAATATTGGATAATGCTGGCCATGTAGAGGATGTTGCACATGTGACTCAGGATGTTTGGTCTCACATTGAAAGAAAGGTTTTTGTGATAGTTTTTGGTTGTTTAACCAGCGTTGTTTCTGATTTATGATTTTATTCATCTCCTCACAGCATCCCAGCTGTCCTCTGCTCCAATAACTGGCAGTCGGCAGCCTCTAATGCACTTAATCAGCCATCAACAAGCAGCCGCGTTGCTAATGAGCCTCTTGGGCTGGATGAGATCACTCCAGTGCCCGTAGTCGTCCGCCAGCTTCCAGACTTTGACCAGGACTCATGGACCGTAAATACCGTGCCCAAAAAGGCCCTCATCCCTGACCACGGAAACAACAACAACAATAACAACTCTGCCACTCACAGCCAGGCAAACGGGAACCCCTCAGCAGATAGCAGCAAGCCCTACCCCAGCCATGGCTTTACATGTGGACAGAAAAAAGAGCTACCATCACCCAGTATGGCAGGCATGGACGCCCAGCCGGTGAATAAAAGCGAAGGCAGAGACACAACGGCCGGATCTCCACCCTCACAGCCTAATTCAACTCAAAGCCAGTCTCAGTCGGGAAGTGTGGTAGCTCTGGAGGCCGGACCACCCGATGGCGCGGCCGCCAACCCCCAAACAACCAGCGAAACTCGTGAGCTGCCTCCAGTGAATGGAGAGGATGTCCAGAAGGCCTCACCAGAGAGGACACACGTGGACTAATGGAAAAAAGTGTTTATCTAGGGATGAAAAATGTGGCTTGAATTGCGTCAGCTGCCACTGGAACCTCAGCTGATGTTCCAGACCCTGAAATGCAGATAATATGACTGAAATACCATCCGTGTGCTCTAATGTAGCTATGACAAAACAGTGTAAGGAATCACATAAGGAACATAATGTGAAGTGTTTGTACACAGGAATATTAGCCCTCAGTCATTTTCATGTGTTGCAGATGTTGTGTGTCACTGATTGTTTAGTCGCAGTCTCCTCTATGGAAACATTAATACACTTCCAGTTTCTGGCTGAAAAACGAGGCCGGCCCGACTATTGTGTCTGCACTGTGGAAAGTTGTTTTCAGTCAGTGTCTGTAAAACAGAATCTTTTTTTTTTTTTACATTTGGCTAAATGAACAAACCAATCAAGCTCTGTGCCAAGTGAACTAAAGTGTGTTTACAGGCGACCCGGACACCTTGAAAAAGAGCTGTCTGTGTGTGATTCTGCCACCTCATGAGTCATGTTTTCGACAAGGTGAGATCATTTTCCACACAGAAACGGTCAATCCCGTAACTCTGTAGGTGTTTTGGGGAGCCTGAGAGGTGACAACACACTGGGTTTGACTGGATGTTTATGCCTCCTGCTACACGCTCTGGGTGTGTCCTGTTAAATACACTGAAATCATGTTTTCTTCTCCTCTTTAGCCTTTCACCTGCAGAAACCAGTCTCTGAGGTGAACCGGGTAGGGGTTTTCATGTCCAGATGTTGTTGATTAACTTCTAGAGAAAAGCTGTAAACCGGTGTGGTGTGTGTCCAGTTTTGGGACCCTGAGAGGTAAGAGGCACACAGTCTCTAATGTACTGATGTAATCACCCGCCCACCCATTTCTTATTTTCACATCATGTAAAGATTGTGTTGATTTGGATAGCTGCCGTCCCCACATTCAAATTTCCGCCTGTTTTATACTCATGGTGTAGTATCATGTTGTTGAGCTGATGCCCACAGATTTCACTGGATTCATGCTAACATGTGGATGTAATAAATATGCAAATACTAATGTCATAACCGAACCAAATCCCAAATTGAGTTTATTTTTGTGTTCTTTAGGATTGAAATTAGCTGCACAGCATTTATTCCAGATACACAATCAGTTGCAGTGGAGGAAAAAAGAAAAGGAAAAAAGAAATAGATTTCCCTTTGCAAAGCTTGTGGTTAACCTTGGATCTCTTATCGGTTGTCCTAACGCATAACAAAATAATGAGACCGGGATGTGGAAACCGCTCGCCCACACTGATCAACAAGTACACAATCACTTAAATACTCTCAAGAACAATACACAGTGTGTGTTTGTCTTGCATTTGCCTCTATTTTATCTCTACCCAGCCCGCCGCTGTCCAAACAGATTACATCGATTCTTTGCCGTTTGTGCGGTATTGATCAGAGAGCAGCCGGGAGGCCTTTGACTCAACAACATCTATATCTCACCACCTTGATAAGCTTTGCGGTCTGTTCCAGTGGGGGAGGGTCCACTCGCCACCATAAAGACGGAGTAAATGCTGCTGCTTTTTATCCCATGATTCAGAAAAAGAACAGATTTTCTTCCGTCTGTTGATGAGTTTTTTCTTAACCACACCGCAGTGGGTCCCTGTCACATTTCCAACTTGGTTTTTATATTTCCAGCCAGTCATCATACAGGAAGGAAAAGGAGACTAAAATGGTGTTTGGCAGGTCTGGTGAATGAGTCGATTATGAGAGCAGATAACGGAAATGGTTCAAGTTATATCAGGTTTAGTCTTTTTTTTTTTTTTTTACCAGAGGGCCACAGACATGAAAAAAAGGATGGACAGCGGATTTGGTTTTGTATGCACATGTCAAGTGCTAAAATGTTTACAGTGACTTTGTGTCGTTATCTATTTTCAGCTTTAAAATACAGTTTGGTCCGATTAGGTTTTTAGCTAAACTGACAGGAATTTTGTTTTTCTGTCGTACCTTCAATGACCAAACACGCTGAATTTCTAACCCAAAAACATCTAACCCAAACTGAGGCATGTTTTCTGGTGAAGGGACATTGTTGTGCATGCAAACGTTTCAAACAGGTAACTCTCCCTGTTTGGAATATATGATCACATATTTTTTTTTCCACGAAGCTGCGTTGAAGGGTTCCGACAGGAATCAGAAGATTTGCACTTTTAGACTTCTTTAAACTTGGAGTTACAGATAAGTTGGAGGCTGAGTTTATCCAGGCAGGCTTTGGTCCCCTAAATCCCCCCTTTTTTATTTTTTGTTATATCCTCGTCCGAGATACTGCATCCCAAATTCATTATAACAATGCCACCTGAATTATTCCTCACTCAGGATATAAGCATCTACCAGATGTTTATAAAAAAAATAATAATATACATATTTTGCACAGATAGCAAAACTTTGTCACCCGATTAATGAACAATGAAATTGAATCAAAGTGTTTTTAAAGTTGGAAAAGTTAAGATTATATTTATTTAGGTTCACTAAAGCAGATTTTTACAAATCTTCAATGACTAATAAAAACATGCAAAATAACCAACATTTTCCAATCATCTGAAGAGTCGGAGACTTGTTAATGTGATTCCTGCCAAACATTGCCTGCCTCTGCATTGTTTTTTTTTTGAAAAGCCATACCCTGTTAATCAACGGATAGAATGATTTCAGTGTGACTGTTATTTACAGTCCACTGTGGATAGTTTGCTGTGTTTTAACAGTATTTTATACTTTCCTCCCCTCCCCATCCTACACGTTGGGGACAAACAGGGACACGCCTGGAAATGCCACACATTTCCCATAAACAGGCCCGTGTCTGCTTTGTAGAGTTAGCATGCGGTCTGTTAATCAGTGAGGTCCTGTCGCTGTTTTATGTCTGCTGCTTTCAGCTAATGGGAGTTCTGCTGACTACACCCATTGTCGCACTGTGCTGCGCATCCCAGGTTTTCTCAGGACAGGCTAGATGACAGCGTCTATTTTTCCCTCTGGTACTCTCTCTGATCTGATTCGAATTAGAACAACGTATAGTCGCCATAAAATCCAGCCTGCGCTGTTTCTCCCTCTGTGCTTGAGCACCTTTTGTCATGCCTTTCTGCCATATCTTTTCCCTCCTTATTACCAGCTGGAGGTGCTTTGAACTGTAATGGTGATGAGCAGGTGTGGGTGGTAAACAGCATCTGGTGGCTGCTAATAAAAGGGGTGTAATAGAAGGTTGACCTATATATGAACTAAATAAATAAGAATATAAGAACCTGTTTTTCTGATCACAAGATATCAACAATTTTCACTGGTGTGAGAATTAGAGCACCTGCAGATTCCAACATCCTGATTTATGGCTATTTTTTTCATGAATCATTCATTTTCTTGTATGCTGTGGAGAAAGTCCAGGAAAATGCATTCTCTTCTGGGGATATTTTCTACACATTTGCCATGACCCTCTGTACTTTTTCTTGCCAAAAATGTACTTTTACCAAAAATGTACTTTCCCCCAAAAAAAAACTTTTTGTTCCTGTTCAGTCCACCTCTTCCTGAGGGTTGTCTCTTTTCCTGAGATAAATCTGCCAGCTTCTCTCAGGTTACTCCCACCGCTACAGTTAGAATCCGCCAGGCAAGGACAATCAGACATAGTTGCTTACATGTGCGGTATGAACAACTGTCTGGAGGTAGACATGGAGTGGACAGGTCAGGGCTTTTCCTCTGACCCCCACACGTCCTGCTCCTGCAGCTGACCACCAGCTGACAAAGAAACCTGCTAACCGTTCTGTAGGAACGACTTCAGAAATATTCATCGTCATTAATCAGCGCCTTAAACAACCTAAGCCAGAGAGGGGATATGATGGCTTCCAAAGACAGAAAAACAGGAAAAAAATCATTTAAAGCGGTGAAAGCTGCCATGATTCAGAGTCGAAAGTGTAGCAGTTTTCTAGCTTTAGAGTTTTAAGGGAGTAACTCTGACTCATTACTGAAAGCTGGATTCAGAGGTTACAAATCAACCACCTAAATGATCTGAGCAGTGATGTTTTTTTCTCTCTCTTCAGCTCTTGTGTCAAAAGGTTTCTGAAATCTGACATAAGAAGAAGTTTAGCCAGAATACATTTCCACAAAAAGAAATTTGAAGAGTGGCTAAAACCAGATTCCAGTTTACATGATACAGATGTGACTTGTTTCTTCTCTCTTTTTCTTTTAACACCAGGATTCCTTAAAAATATTCAATTTTTTGGGTTTTATCTATACAAGCCAATAAGAAAACACAACAAAATAATATAGATTTGATATAACAACAGAAAGATTTTAAAAGGAGACCCAGTGTCTATGGGTGGAGCTTTTTATTTCTTTCACCAATCTGACAGAAAGTAGATTTTGTAATTAAACTATTTGAAGAAGTATTTCTATTTTTTCTCATTTTTTTCTGATTACCCTTCTTAAAATAGCACATGGCTGTACAAAGTCTGTAAACAAGGTTGGAAACTCTTCTCCCACCAGAATAAAGATTGAATTATAATTTTCTGAAAGCTCAGGTGCACAGCTATAAATTTAGTTATTAGGTAACAATCAGACTCAGTCACATTACAAATGATTACTAAAGGCTACACGATGGGAGTTGTGCTTCTGTCAAAAATTACAGCTCTTTTTTAATGCAAGTTAAACAAGTTTTCTGTTAGATATGTTGTTGTTTTTTCATTTATTCCATCAGTCCTTTCACGATTACATTTAATCGTTTGGCTTTTGACTTTACCTCCACAGTCCTATTGCTCACTCAGTCTCCACACCCCCCCTAAAAAACCCTCCTCAGCATCCTCCCTCCTTCTTCCTTCAAACTGGGTTTATAAGTGTGAAGCGGCACCAGTTGGCCAGGTTAGAGGAGCTTTACATACGTGAGAAAATACATCAGCTGGAGGACTGATCTGATTTTCATTGGTGCACTTGAATCCAATAAATTCACAGAGCTGTCACCGGCGCTCTATCATGCATGTTTTTAGGATCTGGCGTGTTCTGTGTGTGCTTGGTACCGTGGGTTCTACTTTGAGTGTCAATGAGCTTGAATATGAGGGAGACGTTGCGGACAACTACGACAATGAGATTTCTCCGGACCAGCAGGAGGGTGAGTTTGATTTTTTTCTCTTTGTTTTTATTTTGTATCTACTGTTCCGTGCTTGTTTGAACAGATAGATGAATGTGCAGAGAGTACTCTCAGTTTCCATAACAACAATAGAAACGTTTTAATATGTTTTTTGAGAATTAAGAGAGTAAAGAACTGTTGCATCTCTGGTGACTTGTGTTCCAAAAAATTCTTCCATGAGTGTGTAATTGACCCTCTTCTGTCTGCATTTGACACTCTTACACTGAAAATAACATCTTATTATATGTAAAGAAGCCTCAGGACATTTTGAATTTAGCTGTTCTCAGTAAAAACTAATCAGAAACCAATTAACACTCTAAATGTTCTTAAGGCTTTCCTGATATATTGTGTTGCTTACCATTTATTACAGTTTTATTGTTGTGGCTGATTGTGTGGAAAATATTAATGGAAAACAGGAGGTCTTCATAAGGCCAACTGGTAAAGTTCTTTAAATGTTGCGTTCTAATTTGTTGTCCGTTCATGGGTGGAGTGTGTGAAATAGATGATTGTGCCAACTAGGATTTAGAAATGTTTAGGACAGTACCCTGCATTCATACGAAGATTTTTATTAGATGTGGTCTCCCCGCTCGTATGTAGTTGTTACTTCTTTCCCCGTTTGGAATTGAATTTCTTCTGCTAAGTCCAACACTGTTGTGAAATAGTTGTTTTGAAATGCTTCCATATCAAAGCGGGGAAATCTCATGTTTCGCAGCCCATGATTGATTTATTAATGTCATCTAACCTTTCGGTGCCTATAGGACTGCATAATTAATGCCCTCCTGGTTTGTTTTTTTTCTGCAGGGGAATCTCCAAATGCTCCGTGCCATGCGGACTTCTCCCGCTGGGACAAGCTTTTCATCGCTCTGGAAGACTCTCACATGAGGCAGAACATGCTGCTGGAGTCTTTGGAGCAGTGCTGTGGAGGAATGCACTCTCTGAGGAACCAGGTGGACAAGCTGGCCAGAGGGGCCGGTCAGCAGTGCCAGACGCCGGCGTGCACCGCCCAGGCGAGTCTCAATCTGCAACGCAGCCTGGTGGAGCTCAGGCAGGAGGAAGCCGAAAGGGAGAGGAGAATGAACACCACCTTAGAAATGATCCTGCACAGCAGCCACGAGGAAACTGTGCGACTGAAGCGTCTGGAGGAGGCTTTGCCATCGCTATCAGCAGGTAGAAGCCATCCAACACCGAGACCCGGAGGTTTGGGGATGAAGATGCTCTCACCTGACCTGTGGGAGCAGGGAGTGCCTTCACCTCTGGAAATGGCAACAATGGAAAGGGCTCTGGTCTCTATGGCAACAGAGTTGCAGCAGGTTCACCTGCAGTTGAGCAAAATGATCGAGCTGGCAGGGATGCAGCAGCGGGGCAGAGGAGACACATGAAATGCCCAGAGGAAAAAGCTCTATAAAGGAGGGCTGAAATGTTGCAAATAGTTTTTTTTTCATTCTCTTTTTACGATGTGAGTTTTTTTTTAAGTAGTATTGTGCTTCATAAAATTGTAGATTTGCTACAATGAATAAAAATAAACCTGTTAAACAACCATATTGCCCTCATGGAAATGTTTCCTCCCTCCTCCCACACAGCAATCAGCTCACTTTTCTCAGTCTTATTTCCTTACACTTTCATTTGTTTAAGTCACTGCTTAAGGTCTGTTCCATCCCGCAGGGGCCTGAGTTTACACCACCGTGGTGATGTCTGTTGTTAACCCACGCCAAAGAAGGCGTGTCAGAGGTTTTGGTTTGTGTGGAATTCTGGGAAAGTCTCTCCCGCTCATTAGCTGCTTTAAGAGTGTCTGAATGCAAAGGGGCCATGACTTGCTCGCAGTGTTTACGATGTACAAAACCATGCCAGAATTACATTACAGGCCCGCCCATTGCTCCACCAACCACATACACTCTTAACACGCGTTCATGATTGTTTCTGAAAAGGGACTTTTGGCACTCCACAGATTTATCAGTGCCTTTTGAGTGGTTACATTTTTTTCTCACCTGAAAAAGATGGAAACTAAAACAAGATGAAGATTAAATCTAAAACAAGGTGGGAATCTTGCTATTAATGCCTTAGAAATAATGATGTGGTGGATAATAAAGAATCTGCTTCATCAAAATCTACTACAAGCATCTGAACATACATTAAGTAAAGCAAATATTGTTAAAAAAAATAAATAAAAAAATTCTGTAGTCTGTTTATTTGAATATCTGATCATTAATTTGGATTCATTAATCATCATTTGGAATAACTTTATCTACTGGCTATTATTTATGTGTAAAACCATAGCCATGCAAATTTCTTAAATATGAAAACTGAAAGATGAAGTGTAAATGAAGTAAACAAGCAAACTGCCTAGTTATGTCATTGTACTGGGTATAATGTGGCAACAAAGGACTATTCATCGGTTTGAGAGTTTAATCACACCAGAACACTGACATCACAGAAACATTTTCACTATCATTAAAAGTAAAAAATGTATTCTAGTGCCCATTCCTGTTCATGCATGTCTACATGACCCGCTCTACAGAGATCTGCAGCTGGGTGGAGAACTGTAGGCACCAGCAAATTTTCTGCTGGCCCCCTTTTTCTTCCTTAATGTCCCTTTTAACAAAATCCAGAGGAGCGAGGAGAATTTGTGTCATGAGCAGATTTTATGCCGCACTGGTTTCACTATGGTACCCAGAATCCATGCAAACACACACTGCGCCGTTCAAGTCGGTGGCATCTGGGGCAAGTTTGTGAACAGATGGCTCGGTGTGTGTTGCGTTTTATCAGAGGGAGAGAGAAAGACAGAGCAAGGAAAGGCTAATGAAGGGGAAAATGGAAAACGAGAGACCCAGAAAAACAGTAACAGGCATTATGTGTCTGGTGGATAGCTACAAGACATAATGACTGTTCTCCGCGCATACAACAGTGTTTTTTAATCAGACAGAAGGCCAGACCATGAATAATGACCAGCACTGACTTCCTTTCTCTCTCCTATTCCTTTTATCTATGTTTTGTCCTCTGCCGTCACTCCACTTCTCCGCCTGTTTCTTATCTGTATGCCAGTCTCATCATCCTCTCTCACTCTGCCTCCATTCATCTCCCTCTTGTTTTGTGTGTTTCACTCCTCTCCCTTATTTCCGAGCTTTTGTTCTTTTCTCCATTTCATCTGCAGAAAGAGACCAAAAATGATGGCATCAGACTTTGGCCCAACCTCATCTGGCTACCAAAGGGGACTGACGTTCCACTCTGTTTAAAACATGCACGCTCGCTCAAACCCTTTTTTTTCCCCCCCAGTTTTGGTACAAGGAGAGTTGATCAGAAGTGCCAACAAGAATGCAATGAGTCAGAGAAAATTTAATATCACATCACAGAGTCACTGTAACACACGACACAATATTGGCACTTTTTCAAAAGCAGAAACAACAATACAAAATAGATAAAGCTCCGATAAACATTTAGAAGTCTCCTGTGTACACTGGAACCGGTCACACGAAGAAGGAAGCGGAGGCGACAAGGATAGAGGGGGGTGTCTATTTGATGGGCGAGTCCAGAATCTCCTCGTATTCCTCTCTCTGGCGCCGCGCGCCACCCCGAGCAGGAAGCAGCTTCATCGCCACCAGCCAGCTCACGCTCAGCACCACCAACACGTTCCCCACGACCTCGGGCGCGGAGGGAACCGCAGGCAGCACGGCCAGATAAAGGAGCATAGCGACGGGTATCTCCAGGCTCTGAGAGGCAGACACCAGAGCTGGGTGGAGACGGGTGAGAGCGTGCGTCATTCCCAGGAAGGCCGCTACCGAGCAGGCCACCAGAGCGAGGACCAGTGCCCAGGCCGAGGCGCTCGTCGGCCAGGACCAGCCTTCCTGGAGCAGGGCCAGAGAGGCCGGAGTGAGCAGGCAGCCTGTCCAGCTCACTGTGAACAGGGCAGTGCCCACTCCCACCCGGTCCTTCAGCGAGCGAAACCCCACCAGCGCCAGCGCCATCCACAACCCTGCCAGCGCCGAGAGAGACCATCCGAAAGCGCCCCTCCAAAACGCAACCGGGTCAGTCGGGGAATCTGAGTTGGCCTCATCTGCTGTCGGAAGTAAGACCAGCCCCAAACCACACAACCCAACGGATAAGGTGATCCCATCGATCAGTCCCAGTCTCTCCTCCAGGAGGAGGAAGGCGAGGGTCGCTGACAGAGCCGTGGTTGCCAGGCGCCAAGTGGTTGTGCCGTTTCCAGGGGACACAAAGGTTAAGGACGAGTAGGCGCAGCACAGGGAGAGGGAGTAGGTGACGCCGTAGCAGAGCAGACGTAGCCGATACCCCTCCGGCCCGAACGGGTTCTCCCTTCTGTGCAGCGGGACAGCCACGGACAGGAGCTGAACGATGGAGCGCACCAGGAGCAGGAACAGAGGGCCGAGGCTGAAGTTCTCCGAGGCCACGCGGGTCAGGTCGATCAAGCAGCCGTGCGCCAGCGCCGCGCCCAGCAGCCCGGCCCAAGTCAGCCGAGAGGCGGACACCGACGCCTCACCGAAACTCGCCAGCTGTTCCCCGACCCCTTTTCCGGAGCCCTTTGCCGTTTTGGCTCCCGCATCGCTCCCCTCCCCTCCCCCGGTAGCCTGGAGTTTATGAGACGTCTCCTTTTCTTTGGAGCCAAACAGCGTCAAAGGCCATCTCCTGCTCTCCGTCAGACGTTTCTTGTCTGACGTCTCCTCCAGGAACGATCCAAAGTCCTCAAAAGAAGGAGCGTCATCGTAGCCATCGTCCCCTGGTTGGGGGAAGTGGGTGTGTACTCCAGGCTGGGGGGTGTAGGGCGCGTGCGTGGCATATTTGGCGGTAACTGTGTGAGGGTGGATCTTGACTCTCTTCTTGGAGCTACCCAGGAGATGAGTGGACTCCATTTTTAAGATCTCGGAGGTGATGTTCGCCTGTGAGAGAAAGAGGGGACTTGTAGCGTTACACGCAACTTGTATTTGAAGCAAAGACCACTAATCCTCTCACCTCTCTGCGTCATGCTGTCTCACTCTGGCATTCTGCTTGATATCTCATATATCTTTAATATCCGTGATAATAATAGAAGTGACTCACATCTCCCCTGTGCGTCTCTCTGGGAATTTACGTAAGCGCTACACATCTGAGCAGTCATAACTTAAACTATTACTTTTATTTGTCTGTTCGATTAAACCCAACAAATCTACATTAACTTGATTATACAGAAGCAGATTGCCTCATTGTGTCATTCTGTCTGCTCGGATAAGACAACCTTAAAGGGGGCTTAGTTTCTGTTAGCAATGACAGTTACATAAGCAACCACTTTGTGCCTCACTTGTCTCCTTCCTTTGGGTCTCTAATAAGCTGTCCCTCTCTCTGTCTCGCCATTGACCTGTCACCGACCCTTAACATATGCTGAAAACTAGCAATACAAATTCAACATACACTCAAATCCGTTTTGAGATCCGTTTTGGTTCAGGTCATCATGTTATAATTATATGTTCCTGCATCCTGCAAACTACGATTGACAGTTTTTTCTGGTAAAAAACAATCAAACTGGAATAATTGTATAGCTACTTCAGGACAGTCATTTCAGTTTTTTTGCAGTGTTGACATGGTGACAGAAAATATATGTTACACATAGAACAGCTTTTCATGCCCATGAAAATATGATTTTGGTGGAATTAGAGGGTGACTCAGAAAATCATTTCAATGTACTGAAATAGTGACGTTTGGATATGGGTTCAGCAAATTGACCAAAACGTCCTATTTTTGTCTGTTTTTTTTTGTAAAAAAAATGCAAAAAGCAGTTGGTCTGGTGAAGTCTTTAAATATTAATCCTTCTCATTCTCACTGAGGTTTTTGAGTCTTGCTCAGCTGCTTGCGGTGAATGATGACACACAGAAGAAAACATCAAAATGTTCCTGTTTGAATCTTCCCCTGGCAGACAGTTCTCGGTGCTGGATGATGCAGCTTTCCTCTGCAGTGCTGCTGTTTCTGTTGCTGTTTTACCCTCAAAAGCTTACCATTTTGCACCTTCCAGAGCCGTACGTCTCTGCTGCTATACGAGTCACAGCACACCTGCACGATGTGCTAACAGAGAATAAAGCTGGTATCTCCAGAATTTGCTCTTCTGATCAAATTAGACCCCAAAAAAATCTGTTGGATTTGTTAGTAAACCCTAGTTCTGCTGTTGTTTATGTTAAATAAGCAGCATGCTGCTGTTATTGCTGAATGCTTCATTATGACTGACTGGAGGTGACTAAGGATGTCTCACCATAGAGGAAAACATCTGTATGTTTATTTTACTTCAGGGTCCTGTGAGATGTCATTCTCAAGGTTATGGTCTCTTGGTGTTTCGCCCCTGTGACGCCAGAGGGCTGAAGCACACGCTCACACAAACACACACGCTTCCTTCCACTCTCACGGCCACGGCGAAAAAAAAAAGAAATCTTACACTACACGTCGATTCAGCTTAATGGGCAGTTGCGTCATCAGTGCGTCTGGAAAGCAAGTGCCCGCACCTGACAGTCCGTTGTTCTGCCTTCACTACACAACATGTGGGTTTATGGTGTCGTAGCATTCAATGAAAACCAGACACACGAAAAAAAAATCTTGAATGGGATATGGGAAGAAGCGCGCATCTCACTCCATGCGTGCGCTCTCAGCCGAATCAATTAAGCCCGACTTCTTTTGGACGGCGAGTGATCCAATTGTAATTCAATATTTGATGTTTGTAGCCTTTTTACGCGACGTGCAGTAATCAGTACACCATTATGAAGGTTCGACATCCTCTACATCCACCGTCAGAAAAAACGCCTCCACTCACCTGCCGCGGCGCAAACCAGCAGAACACCGGGCTGAACTTCACTGGTGCTCAGTCTCATTTACAGAGAACCTCCATCACCTCCTTCCTGGTCATTTATTTCTCAGCCTCACGTCCTTGTCTTCTCTCGTCTTCTATCTCTTCCTTTTTTTTCTTTTTCTCCCGCTGCAGTCCTGGTTGTCCTCAAGGGCACCGTGGCGCACCTCTGCCGGACACCCCCCTTCCCCTCACGCCTCACTCTGCCCTCTGGGTTTGGAGGAAAACCTGTGTTTTATGATAACTTGCTGCCCGCGTGCATCACTCCCCGAACACCTATATAGACAGCCCACCTCATCCTGATGAAGGAAGGAGGGAGAAAAGGAGGGGAGGGTGGACTAATAATAGCGTCTGAGCATGCGTAGCATCCACCAACTCTCTCTGTGCGAGACTTAATGACTCTCTCCTCAGAACATAATGCAATTTTATGGTGAAAAAGAGTTATCACTGCTTATGCAGAAGTTTTTCCTCTGATGTTAGTTTGAGAGCAGATCCACATCAGTCCATGAGATATGGCTCTTAACTCCAACTCAGAGAATAAAGAGTAATGGAACAGATTTTTTCCTTGGTTTTCTACCATTTCAAAGAAGAAGAAAGTACATTTTAAAAAGAAAGATTTACAGCTTCAAATATGTACTCCTGACTTCTACCTGACATGAATTGTTCTGGCATTTTGCTGCTGTAACATTGAGGGCTGTGGACTTCTGGAGCCGTGTTGACCTTTGGTGAATGTTGGGGGTTAACTGCTGTTTGGTCAGTCTGTGGTGCTGTTTCATAAGAGGCCTCCAGCTGTCAGTTGAGGAGAGTGACGCTTCCACTGGGATTTTCAGAGCTGTGCAGTGCCCAGTAATAAGATCAAATCCAGCATGTGCCCTTATGTATGTCTACTAATTGGTGCATGGATATGGATCAGGGACATAATATGGACAAAATATCACAGACACTTTGTCTGTGGTCTCTGTACTACTGGTAACAATCTTTTACCAATAGAATCTCAAATAATCCTTCATTGTGTGACAGGGTTACTAATATGCTTCACAGATGTAGCATGGTTTATATTTGGGTGCTCCCCAGTTCTTTTGAAGTTAGGCCTGGTGAAAAAGAGATTATAGATGTAAGTTTATTCAATACAATCAGCCCAAACTGATATGACAATAATAATTATTATGAACATATTACAGTTAGAAAAAACTGCTTTGCAGCTTTCTTTCTTTCTTTCTTTCTTTCTTTCTTTCTTTCTTTCTTTCTT